AACTGAGCTCTTTGCTTTGTGGTGCCAATGTGTTTTCTCATACAGTGGTTTTTGCTTGCTGTCGATCTTCTTCAGAACGAATCATTAGCAAGAGGTCTGAGAATGGGGGTGGGCTGCTCTTCTTTTGTTCAGTTGCAGGACACTGAGCAGAGTGTGATCCCAACACCCCTGCAGAACTGCTTAAGGAGGTGTTTGTCTACCTCTTCACATGTAACTCCTCCCCTTTCTGGCTCGGTTTAATGCTAGCTGGAGGCGATGAAGGTAGGTGGATGGTTTCTCAACCGGATCTTGAGGGTATTCAGGAACTGAGCAAAAGCTCCTCCCCATCTTCCACAGTCCCAAAGGCAGAGTCTAGGAGCTGAGGTAGGCTACTGGCGGTGACTCAGGCCGTAAGCCCTTAACTACATCAGCTGCTGGTGGGAGCAAACTCAAAGATCTTTCTGGATATTTGCAGGGGGGCATGCTAGGATCATTTTGGAGCAGTTCAATGTGTGTGCGATGTGTCATAATCGGTTTCATTATTAGGTCTGGGAGTCTTTCCGGAGAAGGAACGGAGCCTCACTTGGGATTGCATGTGTGGGACGACGTCCTGCCTCCGCACAATATGCTCGACCACACCTTCTGATGTCGGTGGGTTCATGTCACTTACTGAAAGGGACGTGCCCTCCCCATCAGTGAGAAAACATGGTCAGTGGCACCATTGTTGCTTGGTGAAACATCTGAGGATATGTGAGGCTGTTGCTCTTTGAGCAGGTGGGGGTGACGCGCCTCACCTTGAGGATTCCTCGTTTGGGTCGCAAGCCTTCAACATCTCCCGATCTGAGAAATCATTCCTTCAACACCTCACCATAGTCTTTGCCACTGAGCTTAGCTAATTCCTTGGCTCGCTAAGTAGGTCTTTGTGACATTACTTCCACCTTGGTGTGTATGCGCTACTCGTGTCTTAACTTCATAGACATTGGCAGTCACCCTGTGCAGTGTACATATACGGTAAGTGAGGTTCTAAACTTCTAGGCTGTACCACTGGAATATTCAACGATCAGGTTTTGGTAGAACTCGGACAGTGAATCATCGACAACAATCCTTTCATTTTACCATACTTTTAGAAGTCAATCACCTGTTCATCTTGGTCAGCTACTTGGTAATCCCACTGACAATGACAGCGTTTGGAATTTTGACACCAGACTTTTGTATGAAATCCATACTGGGCATTACCTCAATATTGATGCTCACATCAAATGGCTCCTGGCTGGCTCGCCACTTCTGTAACCAATTTTAGGAATATAAAGTGAATTACAGTATAACAATGAGTTTGACTAGTAATAAGACCCGGCCGAATCGAAGACACCAAATTCGTTGCCAATACGTTGAGCAGCAATAATGAATCAGACAGAGGAATAAATGTTGAGTAGTCAATCTTTATTTTTACATTGATAAGAGAAATGTTCAATTTATACAAAATTATAAACAATGACCCAAATGACCAGAAACAAAACGTGTGCACACTAAAAAAATAAGTAAGAATGTCCGTTGGGGCCCTTCAAACTGAAAATTGTTGCGTGCACCTGATATTAAATGTTTATGGGAATGTAGTGTGAATGCGTGTGAGTGTGTACGTGTGTATCTCCTTGTGGTGTCTTTTCTTCAAGGTTTTGGCTCGCCATCTGACACAATCAGGATAACGTCCTGGTCCTCAATCTTCCCGTCCTTCAAAAACCTGACCTACAAACAAGGTCATATCTATTATACTCTCATTCTCGATGCATCCTTAAAGGTTTAAATGTCATAATGCTACACATGGCATCAACCTCATACATGTATCTTAAATCTTAATAAATCTCAAATCTTCCGTTTTCAGTTGCACAACATGAAAATTAAGATATCAAGTTCATTATGGAACTAAATATTTAAGAACTCACATGTGTTACTGTTCATATTAACAGTGTTTCCATAAGGCTCACGGTAGTAACCATTAATATTCAAAATATATCATATCCAGATCAAACCAGGATAACATAACGTGTAATTAAAATAAAAGTAAATACACATACTGAGTTGCTTTCAGGTATCGTGTGCTTAATTACTCCTTATACACTATAGGCCTACTAGTGAGAGAAACTGCACCAAAATTACCCTCCTGTACTTTAAACTCACATTGAAATAAATTAAATTCCTTCAATATCCTTCCAAAAAAAAAATTAACCCCAAAAAATAAAAAAAATAATATTTTTAAATTAGAAAAAAAAAAAAAAAAATTTTAAAAAAAAAAAAAAAAAAAAAAAAAAAAAAAAAAAAAAAAAAAAAAAACAATAACACCCCCCACCCACCCCCCAAAAAAAAACAACCCCACCCCTTAAAAAAACACCCAAAAAAAAAAAAAAAAAAAAAAAAAAAAAAAAAAAAAAAAACTTTCACCCCCTCCATTACAGGCGCACCTTCGAGGGGGGGGCCCTGAAAGGGCCAAAAAAAAAAAAAAAAAAAATAAGCAGCCCACAGTCACTTGGCTCCGGACTCCCAGTAGATAGTGCACTGGTCCTATCTTTTCCTATCACAGTTTAACTCCGAGTTTTTCCCTTTTGCCAAAGATGTCCTTTTAGCAGGTAGCTGCCCTCCTCCCTTTGGGGCTGAGATCAAAAAGACCCGGAAAAAAAATTGACTTCACCTCTGAACTAAGCGGCCTGCGTAGCCCCTCATTGGGTGTTGAGGGGAAGGACCCCCCCCCCGGGGGGGGAGAAAAAAAAAAAAAAAAAAAAAAAAAAAAAAACATTTAATTGCCATGTAAACAAAAAAATAAATAAATACTCTCTTCCAGTGATGTTTTTCCACCTGGGCTACATATGCTTTTAATTTAAGGCACCTGGCCCATTGGTCTCTCCCTCCCGAAAGGGCCCCCCCTGGTACTGTATGGAGCAAGTTGTGATGGCCCCTCTATCACCCATGCAAGTCTTGTCTACTAAATTAAATAAAAAAGCTAAAACACATCCAATAATCTCTCATCTTAAATTAATTTGGACTAAGGTTGCTCGAATATTTAAACTTGATCCCTTTCTAAATGTCTCTTCAAGGATCTGGTTAAATCCTAAACTACGAATTGGTAAATCCTCCATTTATTGGAAGATATGGTGGGAGAATGGTGTGGTCACATTGGGGGAAATGTATTGTGATGGTTCCTTAAAATCTTTTGGGGATTTGGTGCAGCAGTTCAATATTCCTACGTCTCACTTTTATAGGTACTTGCAACTTCGACATATGTTGGTGAGGATTTTTGGGTCGGCTGCATCGGTTCCCCACAATGTAGAACTCCTAGATAAAATTATAAAGAGTTATGGAAAAGGACACGAGGCAGCTGTCTATTATTCTTTGATGATTCAGACTCTTGGCGACGGGCACATTTGAGCTCTGCAGAAGACATGGGAAAGGGATCTGAACCTGACATTCAATGATGAAGATTGGAACAGAATTTGTATGAATGTTAAAGTAGTTTCAAGGGATGCAAGAGTACGTCTTATTCAATTCAAAATTATACATCGTTTTTATTGGACTCCCTCCAGATTATTTAGATTAGGGTTATTACCCACATCAAACAGGCAATGCAAATCTGAAGAAGGTAATCTAGTTCATGTTTTATGGTCATGTAATAAAGTCCAACAATACTGGACCAATATTTATGACAATTTGTGTGAGATTACAGAGATACGAATGCCATTTAGTCCTAGATTATTTATTTTGGGTGATCATTCAGTTCTGACAGGACAGGATAAACATGTAAAAAGTTATGTCCAAACCAGTATTATGATTGGCAGACAAATACTTGTCAGGGGATGGAAGACGGAGGGGGTGCCCTCTCTTCAGGTTATTGTTATTATTGTGTTATTGTGTAAAATGTTAATCATAAAAAAGAAATTATTGCTCACTTATACTTCATTACATATCTTACTGTGTGGATTTGTGGTTTTGACCTTTAAACAACTATAAGTTGTAGTCTTACTACAAAAAACATATGTATTATTAATAAGGTTGGTTACAATAAACACACTAATCCACTGTTTATAAAATCCTATGTATAAAATTGCATGATTTGTTATATTATAAAATAATGCAAATAATGTTCAGAGCTAAATCAAAGTCACTGCCAGACTGTTATCAATAAAATATTGCAAATATGATTTTAGAGATGTTTGTAAGTTTACAGTACAAAAAGCTAAAGAAAATGGGGATTAAAAGGAAATATTTCTATTGCTGAGATTAAATTATGGAACAATGGGCCTCATGCAAGAACTACTCGTACAAACATATTTGTTCTTAAATTTGCTTGTAAAAATGTTGTCTTAGGCACAAATAAAATGTATGAGTGGTCCATACCACTCTTAAGAGACATGTGCAATTAGTCTGCTGTTATCCAAACACAATTTTTTGTTTCCTTTTTAAATTAAACTTTAGAATTACGTCTGACATGGCACACTCGTACAAGCCTGCGATACAAAAAAGTAAGAAAAAGTTAAGATAAGAACAAGAAAATGTTCTTGCATGAGAAATACATTTAAGAATGTGTAACTCAGTTTTGGTTTTCAAAATAAGCCACTTTTTAGGGTTAAATGTTTGTTTTCCTTACCATTTGTTATTTCTGGAGGTAGCTTAAATTGATTATATTGTAGAATAGGCATATCTAAGCTTTTTGCTTCTGCCTGTGTCTTTTTAGTCAATTCTTAATGCATAGATTGTTAGCTATGCTTAATCCTTCTATTGTACAATATGTTGTATACTGTTACGTATATATACGTATTGTATTATTGTGTCTGATGACTAAATACTACTACTACTGTTGGAGGGAAAGAGGCTCATTCAAAACTGTAATTTCAAATAATTTTGACTACAACAAACAATTGGTTCTTTTTTTTTTAGCATTAATTGGTATTGTAGATCATTTAGATCCTAGTTATGATAACTGGATCAGTGAACTCAAGATTATATTGAAAGATTAATATAACATAAAATGCCAGTTGTTCATGAAAAGTCTTTATTTCACTTCATATTGAACGATGTTGAGACAGCAATAGCACGATAACACCTTAGCTCAATGTGTGAGCAGATCCTTGAAGTTACACATCTACTAACGTTTCAGTCATATACAACAGTCAGCTGGATACAATGATGTATTTGGACATTTATACACCCAGCCATGTTCTGATGACAGATGGTAGTAATTGTGTGTGTTTCTGTTACTTTATGAAAGCTCTGTTGTCTTTTTTATTAAACTATCCTCTGTTTACCATTTCCCACAATGCTCTTGATATCACTGTGACCTCTACGTAGGGCTTTCAGATACTGAGGTCAAAATAAAATACTAAAACTTACTACAGTAACAATTGTAACATTAATTTCCCTAGCATCTTTACATGGCTGTGGGGTTGTTGATCTTGCCCATGAAGAGGATGCTCCTAGTTGAGTGCTCCAGGATGAAGACTAAGAAGGGTCTGTCAAGTTTTATGGTTTCAGGCATACTCATGGGCATGATCTCGATGGTGGTGGCAGCTGCTGCTTCTGTTCCTGTTTCATCCACGCTCAGCACAGCCTGGTGGGACACCTGTGGAGGAACCAGGAGGAGGTAGTCAGTGTCTTGTTAAAAGTAGAGCACAGATGTTGGAAAACTGTGGAAGCTACAGGCTAGCAAAGGGTCTTTACAACATCCACTATCTATGTATTTGTGAACATGTCAATATTCTTAATGCCTAATTGTCATGAAATAGACAGATTCCTGAAATATGCCAATTTATTTAAAAGATGTGAAGGCATGTTCGTGTCTCCTACCTTTGAGACTTTGAGCTTGACCTCCTCAGATATGCCAGAGAAATCTGCATTGTCTGCAAAAGCATTGGTTATGCCTAGTTCTTTCAGTGTGCTGTCCAGGGAAGCCTCAGTAGAGATGGAAAATTTTGGCAGGAACAGATCAACAGAACTGAGAAACAGAACCAGGGTCAGAATCACTGGAATATACAGTTGACTTACAGCTTGTTTAATCAACTTTTGCTGTACAAAATTTTTATTATACACTTTATACATCTGATCCAGTGGAACACCTGAACCATTTTTTCAGTCGTTAGTTTGTAAGACAGAAGTCATCTCTTACTTCCTGAAAAGTGAGTCATGCCAGTGCCTGAGGTAGTCCTTGTTGATGTAGCCCTCCACCTCCGCCATCCGGCCTTCATCAGGCAGGACGATCATCATGGAGGTGTTGCCCTTGTAGGGCAGCATGATGACAGTGGTGTGGTTGTCAACATCCTGATAGAAGTCGAAGCGACCGGTCTTTTTCATCATGTCCACCTGAACCGTGGTTGTGTCGTCCACACGGAAGTCTGCCTTGCTCGTCAGGTTACCATCAAAGGGTTTCTCCCACTGTCCTGTATAATGCAGTGAAGGGGGAAGGATGAAGATGAAATGTTGTTACTGCATGTCAACTCAAACAATTGTGGTTACTTCTTTTAAAATGTTGAAATATGTGCTAAAATTGCACATTGTAATACCATTCAGACTGGTCTCTTCTAAATTTCTGGCTCTGTAATTGAGAGCCTTAAACAACAAGGTGATATGCACCAGAACTTCTATCTATATCTGCATGCTTTTGAGAATTTCTCTGTATGCGTATGTGTCCTACCTCTGAAAAAGACGTAGTTAATCAGCACCATGGCCATTTCAGGGTCCAGGTCCTTCACCATATCTTTGATCTTGTCCTGTGTTTTACTGGCAATGAATCTGTTGATCTCTGCTGCAGCCTCCGCAGATTTGGTAAAGTCAACATTGAAGATTTCACCAGAGTAGAAGCGCTTGACATCGTTCAGGAACTTTTCCAGAGGATTGAAACCAGAGCGCACTGCAGCAGCATTTCCAACAACCATCTGCTGGTTCTCCTGGCTGTGGCCAAGCATATGGAAAAGATGCTCGTACGCTTCATTGATCTGTGCCTGGTTGTGAGCACTGTAGCCCAAGCTGGAGAACAGCTGGCTGTGGGTTTCACCACTGGCCCCTGTAGAGAGCATGGACAGAGCAGTGGAGATGCCCAGCGGCGAGTAGAAGATGTTCTTTCCAGCAGCAGCCTTGGCATTCAGACTTTTGTAGAGGGCAAAGCCAAAGTCAGCATTGGGAGGAGACAGCTTGTGGCAGCTCATTTCTCCATCATGGCTGTGTTCAGTGCCATGGTTGTGGTGGCTGTGGTGGTGGTCTGCCCAGACTGCAGCCAGTAGCAGTGCAGCCAGTGCACAACTAGCAAAGATCCCATGCATCTTTACAGCCTGGCCAGAGAAACCAGAGGAGGTTAGTGGGGCTCAACCGCAGTAGGTTGTAGTAGTATTAGTTAAAAGGCAAAGATTTACAATTTATTTTATACAAAATAATCTCTAATCTAAAACATTTAAAGTTTCAAGTTGAACTAGAAAAACTGGATATTTGAATTAAGTGCCATGCTTACCTTTAATGTCGTTTTTGCTGCAGACTGTTTGGCAGAAATGTCCCCATTATATACAGGAGCTCCGAGAGTCAGCTGACACTCTAGTCAAAAATTAACCAAGACCAGCCCCTGTTCTCTGTCCTTAGATATCAGGCCCAACTATCTTTACTGATGCAACATAAATCCTTTAGTACAACCTAAGCAAAGAACCACTGGTGAGATAATGGACTGTTCCAACAATGTTGTGTTATAAACAACATGCCACATACCTTCATTCTTACATTAATCATAACATTATTAAAAAAAAATTGACTGTAAAGTTTCTCTGACTTGATATTCCAATTTTCACTTCAAATCCTTCCTGAAATGGTATACTTGTTTTCATAAAATAACATGAATTCTAAATCATTAGTCCATTAATCAGTGTCATTTAGACACTGAACTCTATGTCGACTCATCTTAATAGCAATATTGATTTAAAGTTGAAAAATAATTAAACTTTATTTTGCTTCAAGCCAACTATAAACAACACAATACATAATACATATACAACATAATACATTAAAGGGACATTGTGTAGTGTTTTAAGTATTTTATTAGCTAAAATGTCTTCATTCATAAATGTGTCCTCATTGGTGTAAAATTACCTCTGCCAATGATCTGACTTATCCTCGTAAGTGAAGAATTTCTTATCTGTATATGCATTGGACGGGCAAGTCCATGGAGGCTTCAATGTCATTCTGCCATTTTGAAAAAGTATAATCGCCGAGAGGGACATAAAGCACTAGCCTACCTGTCTAGCTATTCCAGAACGCGTTTTCGTTCAGAGCCAGCGCCATGTGACTGAAACCAGCTCTAACGGAGAAGGAGATCAGTGAGAGGCGCTTGTCACTGCCCCGGCACATTTGAAAGTCTGCACTGCACTTTAGTTAATAATGGAGGATCATACTTATGCCGAGCCACAGGAGAAGGAATCCTCGTCGCCAAAAAAGTGAAAAAGGGAATTAAAAAGGCAACGTGACCGGCAAATTCAAAAAACGAGGGTAAACATCGGGGTAGCTTTTCCCAAGTGGAAAGAGCTAATGAAGGAGAAAGACTTCCAAAGGGACGCTGAAGTTGCCTGCTTTCTCCTCGACAGGTAGGCTTCTTAAAGTTTTCATAACGGCTACCGTAGTTGCAATACGCATTTGAAAACACGAGGCACTAGAGAGCACTATTCGTTTGAATGCAAAATACAATTTCACCGCTAGATGGGACAAATTCCTACACAATGTCCCTTTAATGATCATTTTATAATACAACAGTCAGCTGGATATAATGTACGGTATAATAAAATATTTAGACTAGGCATGTCCTGATTTAAGCTTTTTTGGCCTTCAACCCAAGTAAAAAACCTTAAATAAGTCCTGTGGATACACAGCTGATCCGATACATATGTTTACCTATATTTTGTTTATGTACAACACACTGAAATAATTGCTGTAGCTTAATAAATCTGATACACCTTATTTTTCACAAACTTCTTGTTCCCTCTTGATTGATGTTTAAGTCTTCTTTAATTGTTTTATAGTCTTTTAAAGTTCTTTGTCAATATTGTATATAATGAGGGGTGTATATCAATTCTGTAAGACCTACAATTTTTTAAATATTGATGTTGATCTGTATCTTTTATCACTATTGGCTTCACTTCATCAGAAAGTTGTATCTTTTGTGTTAGTGGCTTTTTTGTGCAGTTTCAACTCGTCCATAGCAGGAAACAATGGCGGCTCGCCTGGTCACACACAATCTTATCACAGCTGAACATTACGCTAAAATATGTTTCTAAAATGATTATAGGCAAGAAATAGGCAATAGGCAGTAACAAAATCTTGCTTTGTATTTGATCAGCACTGCATAGATTGACAGTTAGATCTGAGTTTGTGCGGTGCACTGGACACATCCTAAGAATTATTTACCCAGCATACCCTGCTTTATTGTCTATTTTACTCTAAATTTGACCATAATTTACTAAATGTACATCATGCTGTACGGAAGAAGACTTGAAACTAGAGCCCGAGACCCTAAACTCATTAGGAAACTGTTCACTGAGCTCATAAGTCAAGTGAGAAGTAAGGTCATTTCTCCTTAAGACAGCATGGTATCGGTGTGTTGGATGGAGCCCCTCCCTGCTGGCCTTTACATAGAATGCAGGTTTAAAACACTATGGCTTCACTATAGAGACCTGGAAGCTCTGTCTACTATATATAATGGTTTATGCACCAAAACTAATTTGTTAGTTTAAGGAAAAGATTGTAACTTACATTACGTACCTTAAATCACCACATCACCCAAAAACCACAAAGCAACCAACATTCAAACACTGCCAGCTGTCTTGCCTCTCCATACCTGGGGCCAGATGCATAAAATTGTATAGAGTCATCTATGCCCAAAGACAGAAATATGCAAACTGTATTATAAGTATTTTGTCTGTTCGTTTGGCTGGTTCTGTTTTTTAAATCTTAGTCATTGTAGGCACATAAGCCACATTTTCACTGTCATAGTTAGCTATAAATGGATGTAGAAACATCCATGAACATCTGTATAATGATATTTCTGATTGCGTCACCACTTGTTAGACCTGTCATTGAGAAGAATGCAGAGATTTTGCAACAAGGATCTCTAACAGCACCAGAGCAGTTGTCATTACGCACAACAATTACAAGGCTGTGGTCATTTATGTTGCCCATACCAAACCATCATCAGCAGTGATACCTCAGTCATCATTATTAACTGTCAGAAGGATAAACAATCAAATTTGTGTGAAGTATGCACACATTCTCACCACACACGCATCATTTAAACATCTGGCCCCAGTAGAGTCACTGCGTGAAATGGCCCTGCTTGTCAGATTGTAGGTTTCAGAGTTTCTTGGGGATGAAGCTAAAAAAAAAGTGATGCACCTCATCTCTGGGGACTGCTTATTGACTCACAAACCTGGGGTTTTCAAGGAGCTAGTTGGACCTTCCTTGATTAATAGGCTGACATTTCTGTTACTTGGGATAGATCTGTTGTCCTATTCATCAAACTCTCCTCTATTCAGCATCTCCTCAGTGAGCTAAATATCTCCACAAGGATGTCTGATGCCGAGGTAAAAATGAGCCAATGTTCAGGAGCTACTAAACTCTTCTGCTGTGTGAAAATGTAACACTGTTTTATGAGACTTTTCCTTTTTGTGTTTGCGAATAAGCCTAGATGTTCTAGCAAATCCATTTCTGATAATTGCATAAGACGATAAAGAGATGTTTCAGGAGGAAATGGGCTGCGGAGGGGAAAAAAATGACAAAAGAGAAAATGCTTTTGTAATGGAAGAAAAGTGTTTTATGTTTTTGCAAGAATAGCAGAGATTCAGTCACAAGGATAAATTACTGCCATGCAAATGTCATTTCATCATTTTGTGAAAATGGAAAAACGAACTATAAATCATCCTGAATGGTTTGGAAAATTGGAGGTAAAACAAAACACACTCACTGCAACTTCAGTGAAATTGCTGGAAATTTTTTCCCCCCAAAATGAGATGCCATACTACTGGGAAAAACAAACCAAAGCTGTTTTGTAATGTAAGTGGATGCCGTATTATATCAATAACAAAAGGGGAAAAAAGGACAAAAAGGAGAGTGTAATGTTCACTCTAGTCTAGACATCTGTGGGATCAATAATTCTCCCTATGAGCAGGACGAGCCCTGTGAGATCGTCATAGATTATGAGCATGAACGGTCTGTTAAAGGTGATTCTCGGAGGGACAGAGAAGTCCAGCATGATGTCAGGTCTCCCCCCATCTTCTGACTTGGTCTCTTCCACCTCCAGCATAACTTCATGAGGAGCCTGAGTATAACAACACAAACAGGAGTATTGGGAGAACAGAGATCGAGACAATAAAATGAATGAATGTACGTGGTAAAGAAAGAATGACAAGTATAGCTTAGCATGCCCATTTCACAAAGTTAATGAAAGTAAATTTCTAATGTGTAATATGCTCCTCAAAGGTCACAATCAAGTACTTATTACATTCTGAAAAAGAATAATAGGATATTTTGTCTCTCTCTTAACCTTGACAAGTTTCAGCGTTGTCTTGGATGATATTCCTGAGAAGTCTGCTGAGTCTGAGAAAATGGATGATACTCCAGAGTTCTTCAGGAGGCTTTCTAAACTGTAGGATTTCCTCAGTTGGAACTTAGGGAAAAGGATTTCTGCCCGCCTGTGAAAACAACAATCAATTTGTGAATGGATTTGCCCTAAGTTGTCTTGTTACAACACATGGGAGCCATTGTGCAGGCTTTCACTCACTGATGTATAGAGAGCAATAATTACTGCTGACTTAGAATCTACTCAGCATCATTCATCATGCTACGGAACAACAGAAAGCAAGTGACAGGAGGGGACCAGTCTGCAGCATGACATGGATCAATATACTGTTCACTCAGGGATAAACAAGCACTATTCAGAGGGCATGTACTGTACATGCCCAACCTTTGGGTTAATATATGCTTATGCACATTTGTGCAGTATTCCCAGACATATTTCACATCTAAACCCTAAGCATTAAACATAGTACTTAAAAAAGCCCTGCAAAAAATACTACTTTTGCATTGTCAAATTACAAAAATCAACAGAAAAAAAATAAGCAAACATATTTCATCACTTACCCATGCCCTTGTAATGTCATGCTTTATTTGTTCAGGATTACACACATTCATCCATCCAAAATAAATAAATAAATACATAAATAAAAAAGACAATGTTTAAAAAACATGAACATGGCATTTTGTTTCTCAAATTTCATGTATGAATTTGAGAAAGGTTAGAGACTCCTCATAATAACTGGTGAACAGAAACACAATTTTTTATGCTGCACCACAAAAGAAAATACAGAAATCTCAAAGACAGACGTCTTGAAAACAGGACACATAAAAATACTCTGCATTGCTGGATACCACTGGGGATGAATAAGATTGTTGTGTATACTTAATTGTTTTTAGGTTAAATAAGAAAAAGGCATTCAAATGTTCTTTTATAGCTTTACAATGACTGTGTTGAAATAGGGACGCCAAATGGCACATGTGAAATCATTTTTATATTGACTCATCCTTGAAGCTGCTGACACAAAAGTCCATGCAAGCAGTCAGGAAAACATGCGAATGAAAGGGTAGCTTGACATTGGTTTGCACCTCATTCGTGTTCAACAATTTGGACTCACCACCTACCCCGGCTTCAGGTTGCTGAGCCAAAACCTCATGCGGCTGTCAGACAGGCAGTCCTCCAGGGGCTGCAGCTCAGCTTTAGGAAGCAGGAGCAGTGAGGCCAGGCGTTCTGACTGGGCTAGCCGGACCACTGTGGCTGAGCAGTTGGTGTCATATAGCATCATCACCTCAGAAGAGTCGTCCCTGAACATCATGGCTACCTCCACGCTGGTCGTAGCGTTTGGCTGGAAGCTCCGTGGCACTGTGTGGCGACGCTCAAATGGTTGGCGACCTGATTTATGTGTCATTAATAAAGGGAACAGGTTATGGATGAACTAAGATAAATTGGATAAGATAAAGGTTGCACACCTATAAAAAAAGAACCCGCTATGTGAATTTACTACCAATAACTGTCACAAGTGAGCATGTGCTCTTCTTACAAAACAAAGATGATGAAAAAGCAGGCACTCAATGTGCTATGCAGTGGGTGGTACTGCATTGACACAATGAGCACATTTTGAAGCTGTAGTGAGTTTTCTAATTTAGCAGCAATTCATTTTTATTTCAGCTTTCACTTGAATGTCTTTTAAAAAGCAATATATCTGTCTGATTGTTTATACCCTTAATGTACGGGAATACCTCCCGACCCTATGTTGAAAATATCAATGTACAAAAACTGCGACTTTCATCACCAATAAAGCAAGGCCCTACCTTTGAAATACACATAATTGTTAAGTTCAAGTTTGTCAGAGGTTTGCAAGTCTTTCATCAGCGTCTCAAAGCTGATATTGAAGGCAGAGGGTCCAGTGTGTTGAGACGTGGACAAAAACCTATCATAGCGTAGTGAGGGTTTTCCATCAATATGTAGGCCGCTCCACACTCTGATCTGACTCCCAGCATGAACCCCATCCTCAGGTCCAGCCCTACCCTCTGCTCCATCATCTGCATCAGCTCTGTTTCCAGCATCTGCCCCTCCAATTTCCACCCCTGCTGTGGCCCCAATCCCACCTTCTGTTCCGGCTCCAGCCTCAGACTCTGCCCTTTGAACCCCCCCTCCACCCCCTCTCTCCTGGACAGTGAGGCTATCTTGCAGATCTGTAAGAGCAGATATGGCGGCTTCCACGCTCTGCTCTGTAGAGTTGGCTGCCAGCCCCAGTGCCTCCAGGGCCTGGCTCCGACTCTCAGACCCAGACACTCGGGACAGCAGGGCCAGGGCTGACGCCAGGCCCAAGGGCGAGAATAAGATGTTGTGTTGTTTTTGCTGCTGGATCCCTGGCTCAGCACTGGTTCTGGTGGACAGGTTATGGTAAGGTTCAAAGGCCAAGGCTGTGTTTAGGGCTGATGTGTTGAGCTGTTGCTGCTGATTGACCTCTTGTTCCCTTTGCAGAGGCCCGCTGAAGTGTTTCTCAGGCTTTGGTAGAGCCGACCCATCTGCTGTGCAACCCGTTAGCAATGCCAGCACTGTCAGACATGGAAAAATGTACATAACAGACATTATCGCTCCTTCTCTCACCATCCTGCATTGGCCTGATACAGAAAAGCCGCAGGTTGATCTCACGTAAGACCGGCCAAACTCCAGCTTTAGGGAAGTGTTGTTCTTGTGGCTTGGTGTGGGGGTGGCGGTAGTGTTGAAAGTATATCGATCTCCGGGGGCTGAGCTTTTGACCCTTAGGTTGAGCTCCAAGCAAACAATGGCAGCATGCTTAGTTTCTTAGAATTTCAGAGCCAATGAGTGTGTGTGTGTATTTTGTGGACAGTGAGGACAGAGCATACTCATCCTCCCCCTTTAATACACATTGTGGTCAACATGGATTTTGAACACTTATGCAACTGATGCATACTTCAGTTTTGCTCTAGTTTCACTGTGTATACACTATAACAAAGACACTATACATGTGCCTAATGTGTCTACAGCACCTGGAAATAGAGTGCCTGATTCTATCTTGTGGAAAGGATCAGAAGATATATGACACAGAATGAGTATCTGGTTTATTATTTATATCTCAAAGTGACAAAAATGTCATGAAAAAAGCTTGCATTGTTGAAAGGCTTTAACTATCATACAGTATTTGAGATGAAAACAATGAAACAATATACATTCTAAGCCACAAGTGACACAGGGAGAGTCTACGAAATGTCAAAGTGCTCATTAAATATTATCAGCTTAATCTCACCATGTCAATACAGCTTCTAATTAAACAGCAGGTCATATGGGATTCTCAGCCGTCAACAGAATGCTGTAACGACAGTCTTTCATGTGAGACAGTTGCTGCTGTAATGCTGCGATGCCACCATGTGGTTGGTAACATCCACTGGAAGTGAAAGGAGTATTTCTGCCAGAAAACTAAATCAAATAAACAGAACATTTTGAACATGCATTCAGCAAAAACGCACTAAAACTCCCAAACCATGTCTAATACTTGGTGTATTGTAAGACCAAGTAGCTGAAAAAAATTGTAATAATGGGAACAACAGCATTATGTGTTCATCTGACAACGATGGCCCAAATGACAAATTATTTCTGCTGGCAGCAAAAAGAAAACATAATCATTAAATGCTGCCTTGAGGGAAATTTGGTGATACAGATAAAGAGTCAACCCAGCCCTACGTGTCCCTGTTTGCCTCATTTGTGGAAACTGGGCTAATAAGCATTTCTTAATGAGAAGGGTGTACTACAGGGAGACTCAGAGGTTCATTTGAGGTAGGATGAAGCAGCAGTAGAGCAGAATCCACAGGACCAAGAGCATTTCCAGCTCTAATGGGGTTATGTCACACAAGGCTGCTAAAGACTGAAGAATGAATCCTTCCTCTCTGTCGAAAAGCAGATAAGAGTTCTTGATTAGACATTTCACGTTCATATTGATGATGAAGAAATGGAAGTTAGATTAAAACAACAAGACCAAACACAGCTTATTTGCATTGTTGACGATGAACCTGCTGTGCTTGGGGCTGGAGTACGATCAATATTCGATATAAGAACATAAGTGTACTGTAAGAAACTGATTGAAACCGTGCGCTCTAGCATTAGCTGCAAACAGTAGCATGCCCCGCTAACTAGGATACAATAGTAACCATGTGTTGTTTCCAAAGGCAATGGGCCTGTCATTAACTAGTTATTAGGTATCACAGCATTTTGTGAGGTTACAGGTTAAATTACAAAATAGCTGTTAACATCTGTCCTGTGTGAGCCAAGATGCTAGTGTATCGGAGTTCATGCTAACTCTGTCCTGCTCTTTATTTGGTTTGGGAAGTTTACTCTCAAGCAACTCCCGCCAAACTTGTATCACACAGGGTACGTTTGCCAAATTATTCAAGGGTTATATTAGAAGGATGAACATTTTAGAACTCAATTTTAGTTATAATATGTGCTATATGTTGATATTAGGGCTGGCTAGCTCTAAGTTGCAATACAAAAACTGCGTGTGCTGCTCCTTTATTTCCTTGTCTTCCATTGATTTTTTTTGCCTGGGATATAGAATTAGCCACATTCTTTTAGCGTTATATCTTATATAGCCATCCTGCGCATATTTAACACCCTTTTACAGGATTTCTGTTTTTGGAATGAATAAAACTTGAGCTTGAGCCAGAGGTTTCACCACCTCACAGAGGTGTTAGCTCTAGTTAGCTACAGATGACAAAACCTGCTGGCATCAGTCATAGTTTCGGCCAACAACATGCCATCAACAACTGTCGTCAACCAGAAAAGAGCATCAAACGCTGCCGTTATCACTGTAAACTGCATTTGTACCATGTCAAACTGAAAGCTTGACACATTGTTACCATAATCAAGGAGGTAATCTAAGCAGTGCTTAGCCAACAGTCAATTATATCTGTACACATAAATCTCTAATGCTATGACCTACCTGACTGACTGAGAGGTTGCACTGCAGGCAGGAGTCCAACTGTTATCACCGCTATGGTCGGTCCCTCCATTTTTTGGGGTATTTTTACCAGGATGGTCTATTGTTGTTGCCTTCTTATCAGTCAGTTTCCGTCTGTTAATATTAAGTTCCCTGTCTTTCTCATCTTCTGTTGTAACTGCCTCAAAATCCATTAAATTAATGACTTCACCACTGAATACCTCCTTGCCTTCATCATTACAAGTGAAATCTTCCATTTTGGGGCCGGCAATGACTTTCCTCTCATTTTCTTCTTTTGTGTTAATTCCAGTTGCATCGGCTCCTCTGACTTCATTTACAGCCACATCTATTAATATTTTTTCATTTACTTCCACCATGAAACTTTCTACATTCCCACTTTGCTGATTTTCCCTCTCTTCCTCCTTTACATTATCCTCTCCCTCTTTTTCTTTCACTAACTTTCTGTCCCGCCCTTCCTCAAACGTTGTCAAATTGTCTTCCTCTTCTTCTCCGTCTGCCGTTCTTTTCTCACTGCCTTGTCGACGTTTGTCAAAAAGCCTTCTTTTAGTCGGTTCCTGAAGCTCTTTCTTCCAAATACCCGACTCAAAAAGCTTTGTTTTCTTGGTTCCGTCCACCAGAGCCTCTGTTTTATCATAACCATGCGTCACCATTGTAGCATTTTCTGTCTTCTCCTTCTTTCTCTCTTCCTCGCAGTAATCGGTGTCATCATTACTCTGTCCTCTGACAACTCTCTCCTCTTCACGTCCCTTTCTGCTTCCGCTTTCTTCCTCTGGCTCCACGTCAAACATAGCTCCATTGTTTGCCATCTTTCTGGAGCTACTTTCATTCTTGTCTGGATCAAACTTCATATGAACCACCGACCGAGCCCTGACTTCTGGTTCAACATTTTGTGCAAGTGAGCTTTTTTCATGTTTACATCCACTGCCGTTTAACGTCACACATACTTCCGGATGTTTTGACTCTTCAGTCTGCTGTCCATTCAGAAACATTTCTTCTGCTGTTTCCTCTTCAACCCTTGGTACTGGTCTTTTCAGCTGATTATATGGTTGAAAAACCTCTTTATTCAGATCCAGGATGTAGCTGTAGGCCTCCTCCTCATCTGAGTCCAGTGCTGACAAACTGTAGATTCCTTCCTCGGAGCTCAAAGAAAAATGACTTTCATCCACTCTTGTCTTGTTGTAGCCATGATCCAGAGACGCTTTCTCCATCCATGATCTGATGTCCTGGCTGACTATGCCTGCATCCAGTGGACTGGGTGGCTTTAAAACGCTTCGATGCTTGCTTTTGTTGAATGGTGAGCTGGCGGCACTGCCTGCAGGTTGTTCAGTGATGCTTTGGCTACGACAGGATGGAAAGATGTCTCCGCTGCTGGAGGAGACATCAGAAGTCCCTGAGGGTCTTCTAGCCCACCGTTTCCACAGTTGCTGCTCACTGCTCTTCTCCAAGCCTTTCAGCCAAGCTTGCACTTCTGGGTCATCAGCATGGGTCTCCCCAAAGCTGACTGACTCAAGTGATCCAAAATTTGGGATCTCTGGAATTTCCATAGCGGTTATACGATCCTGTAATATATGGTTTATGAGTGGTAGTTACATGATGTCAGTGCAAATAATGCTTTATCTTTGATTCATAGTGTTTGTCAATGCATTTGTCATTCAAGAGAATTAGATGGGAAAGATGATGCCACTGACATTCCTGTGAGTTACAAATTAAACTACAGCCAGCAGCCAGTAAGCTTAGATTAGCATCAAGACTAGCCTGGTTTCGTCCAAAGTTAACAAAATCTGCCTACCAGTACCCTTAAAACTCACCAAAAGACATAATATATCTAATTTGTTTAACTGGTACAAGAACCTTTAATCCTTACTGCACTCAGACAAGAAATACTCCTGCACATAACCAGTAAAAACACAAACGGTTGCTTTTACAATTTGGTTTCTGTACCGATTAAATAAGCAAGATTTTTCCCAGCTGGTAGCTTCATATGTAACAGATATGAGAGTGGTAGCAATTTTCTCATCTAGCTCTCGGCAAGAAAGTAAAAAAGCAAAAATCTTGAAATATTCAAGCCGTACTAACCTCTTCTATGCCTGAACAATGCCCCAGGAACATAGACACATATGTGATGATGGACCGCTCATCTGGTGAAGTGCACAAAACATCTGGGGAAAGAGGAATAGTTTTCACACATTAGCAGAATAAACTGTTACTAAAGAGACTATTAAGCAAGGTCAACTTTTAAATTGGTCTGCAATGGGGCAAATGCTTCTGATTCACTCCTCTGGTCTGGGATAGGTGGTATCATTCCCCCATAGGGTGTTTCTAGCACCTACTTAGGTGCAGGGGTAGCACTGTCTTGGTGTAGATGCAGAAAGCCATTTGTTATGAGGATGAAAATGGACCAACGTGAGACACTTTATATTCAGTAAGCTTTTACCTTCAGGCTCCAGCAGAGGTGGTATATCCAAACTGTGATGGGCTATCATGAAAGCCAGCTGGACGTTTTCTCTTGGCACTCTAGACAGGCTCTCTCTCAGGTCAACCAAGGCTGGGTTTATGGACTTAATCATAGCTAGGAATGCCAGCCCACTCCTCCAGCTCTTCCCAAAGTCATGCACCTCCACCCCAAAGCTGCAAATTTAAAATTGCATAATAAAAAAAACAGAAGCTCAACACAGCCAGCTCACACATTTTCCTTCCCTCATTTTGGTTGTATAAGTATAATTTTTGGGTTTCGAGATGTTATGTTGACAAAAATGAATTTCTAAGCGTTTGCATCTTTTTCAGACTCACTTTGATGTACATGTTTGGACCCATTGCAGCAGAGTCTTGATTGCTTTCCCATGGTACTTTGCCTCTCTGGCAGCCTTTCTGCCTTTGCTTGGCAGGGTGTTGCAGGAGTAGCTGCCAATGTCATTTGGCTGAGGTGAGAGGTCAGCGGAGGAGGGGTAAGTGCTCATTGATAAGGAAGAGAGGCTATAAGACAAATGCCTCTGGAGCCCTCCTGTCACCTCCTTTACCTGTATTAGGATAAAAGAGTGGAGTGCATGTAAGGTCAGCGGCAAAGACAAACCACTGGGCAGAGAGGAAAATAATATATGAAGACGTTAGAGTGATGGATGATGGGAAATAGCCTGCCTGGAAATACAGGATGATGATCCAGACAAGGTTAAGAACAACAGAAGGGATGCCATCAGCAATACCAGAGGCATCGATGCCAAGCAGCTTCACCTGAGGGACAACGGGGAGCAGACATCATCCGCGATCAAGTTTTTCCTGATTTAATTGTAAATGTATGCCATGTCAAAACAATTGACTAACAAGCAAACACACTCACATGTCTATCATCCAGGAAAGCCAGGGCCTTCGAAATGTTGTTCAGCCTGAAAATGCGGTGAGGAGACGACCTAAACCTGTAAAGCTAATATAAGACATAACGTTTAAGGGAATAGTTGAGAGTTTCAGGAAACACGAGAATTAGAATGATACCACCCTTATGTACCGCCAATATGAAGCTACAGCCAGCAGCCGGTTAGCTTTGCCTAGTGTAAACACAGGAAACTTGGAAACAGCTAGCTTGGCTCTCTCCAAAGGAAAACAAAAAAAGTGACTTATTGTTTGTTGTCTATTTCTTGGCCCGAGCTTTAAAGGTGCTGTTAGGTGGATTTTGTTGCCTATAAACACAGCCAGGCCAGCTGTTTCCCTCTGCCCCAAGTCTTTGTGCTAAGCTAAGCTAACTGACTTCATATTTGCTGACATGTCAATCTTAAAGTGGATATGAAGCAGTCAATCAATTTAAGCTGATTTATTAAATGGATTTAACCTCTACTCAATTGTACTGGATCTACAGGGGGAGTGGAACCTTTTCTATGGAGATTGGGCCTTTTCTTTTTTTGCCTACCGTTGTTTCTCCTAAACACTTGGAAGGTTTGGCTGTATTGGAATGGTTGCAATCGGCAACTGCACAGCTCAATGGACACTGAATCTTACACGCTGGTCCTTTACTAGTGTTGTGTATTTTCTCCTTCTTTGTGACATCAAATTGTTCCACTGTATAAATTAACTCTTACTAGTTTGCACCCAGAGAGCTCCTCCAGCAAAGCCATCAGTATTCTGCCGTCCTGAATGTCTGTGAACAGGTCGTGCACTTCAACTGGAGGATCACGCTGGAAATAGCAAACGGTAAACATTATTGGTGAATCCATTTATGAGGTAGTATAAAAGAATTGCATTGATTTGTGCCTTACTCTCTGCAGAAACACATTCATCCACCTGGTGAAGGTTCTCGTCTGAGCTGCTTTCCTCTCATCTGGGCAAGAGAAAACAGGGCACAGAAAATACTGCAGTTTTCCAACTGAAAAGTGTTTTTAAAAGCCTGCTTTAACTGGGTGGCACATGGGAGATGTTGTGTTGAATATTATAAGCAAGAAGTGTGACAGAACATGGTGAAATGAGATGAATGGGTTAACTGCAAGACTCCAGAATATGATATGAGATTAGCAAAATTGTGTTTTTAATCTCCATTGTATGATGCATTTTACATGTAAAACTTGTCACACAGTATTTTAGAAGCATCAGCAAGTGAGGAAATGTATGATTGGGCAATCAGATGCTACTATGCCAAAGACACCCACTTGGAAGATGACTCTAAGGAAATTTGGTTACAGGAAGAAAGAGACAAACAGTAAAGTTTGTCCTGTATATACAGTTATTTACATATTACTATCACACAGTGGGTCAATATTAATCATCAGTGTAAGACAGTATTTCTTGTCACAGTACCTTGAGGCTGCTGCTCCTGTTGATCACTGATCTCTCCCACTGATTTCTTTTGTGAATCCCTGTTGGCCTTGTCCTGCATTCTCATTTAACTTCAGTCTCACTTCTTACTCGTGATCCATTGAGGAGATAAGACGGGAGAAGACCTGAAAATGTCAGGCACTCTTAGCAATTAGAGGAGCTCTGAGGTTTCCTTACAACTCACGGATGAAGAAAAGGCAATGTGAGGCAGTGTGTCTTGCCTGAACACGCTGAAACCTCCCTCTGAGGAGTTGATCAACTCTAGCTTCCACTCCCCCGACACAGCTCCACCTGAATCCTATTGGCAGGCTGCGGTTCATAAAAATTCTGTCAGAGGAGGCATTTACATAGAGTCTGTTACTGTTAAAAAGAAGGAATCAGCTGGGATCAGTGTTAGGTCACACGTTTTCATGCAAAGGCCTGTAATGAATCTTTCTGAGAGTCATAAGAGTAGATTCACTGACAGAAGCATGTTCAGTTCAGAAGGAATGAATAGTAGGAATGAGCAGATGTAGCCAAGGTTTTTACTGAGGTTATTTTATAGTATATGTACAAACAAAAACCCCAATATGTGTTATCTTAAGAGATGGTTTGAAAGACTCTTTTCAGACTTGCGAGCTGTCAGGCATTTTAGGCTTTTATTAGATAGTGACAGCAGAAAAATGACAGGAAATGAGGGGTGTAATGTTGTGGTGTAACTGCGGATCGCAATCCAAGTGCGAAGGAGAAACTACAGTGGCCATCAAATGCGGGAAACACGAAACACCACTATCTAAAGCCAGTGTTCAGTTTGTAGAAACATGGCGATTCAACATGGCGGCCTCCATGGAAGGCGACCTATGGCATCTGTAGATACAAAAGCCTCAGGTAACAAAAACACAACTATTGAGGTGATTATACACTAATGAAAACATACCTGTGAATATTATATTACTGCCAATAGATCCTCCTAAATGTTACACACTGGACCTTTAAAAGAAATATTGTGTTCATGGTAGAGTAGCCCCAGTCTGAATGCAGCCTTACCCCAGTCGTTCTCAAGCTGTGGGACGGGCCCATCGACATATATGAAGGTGGATGACACTCCAAAGATAAAGTCTAACATCTCTATCGCCCCCTGGTGGCTGACTGCAGTATAGGCCATGAAGCATGTTGCCTCAATGTTAGCAGATGGGACATGAGCCAAACACTCATTTTTTCCCCCAAAGATGGTTTCTAGTAGTTCTCGTCACGCTGATGTATGTTCAAGTGTATATTTTTGTGAACATTTTGCAGGGTGTGAACTCTTTGTTTTAGCTTCTGAATGGGGCATGCTACAAAAGGTTTGAGAACCACTGCCCTAGGCCAGCATGACACCCTGATAATGCTAATTTATAGCACTCTCAATGACTTCTTACTCTGATAGCTTGGTGACTCATTGCCATTGATACTGGAATTATCCTTTAAATCCTTTAATCTCCATCGGTAGCTGGAGAAGCACATGTGAAAATATAATTTTTCCGTCTTGCTTGAGGGTAGGTTTTTATAAAATGTTGCACTACAATAAAAAACTATATATATGAGAATACTTCTCAGTTGCGATGTATATTGTGAAATTGTGTTTGAGAGAACCAAAATTAACATTTGTATTTCACTGCATAACTAACCAAATGTGCTTGTATCTTCTTCTGCAGCTTTAAAATCTGGTTACACTGTCAGTAACCTACATTTCATTTTGAAATATGTATGACATGTAAAGGGCCCACTTTATCACATGTAACATTTATAGAGAACACGCAGAGTTAAGTTTTCAATCACTTATGAATAGCTGTGGGATCCCGAACCTTCATTTTGGATCTTAATATAATGCAATGAAATGTGCTTTTAGCAGTGAGCCACATTATTTAACAGTTCTGTAGTAGTCTTCATTCGACCTCAGCAGGGACCTTCAATGCATCTTTAATGAGTTTAATCTTCCATCAGTGAAAAGAATCACTTTCAAGAAACTTGCAATTTGTCTTACATGAGTCATTTATAAATCATAGCTGACTTAATTCCAACACAGCATAAATGTGAAGATACACATTAAAGAGAATCAGAAAATAGCTGTCTCATTTGTTCTGCATGGCAATATTCTAATAAAAATACAAATGAACATTTTTTAAAAGTTAATTTATCACAAAGTATTGATCAAAGTTGTGTGTGCACAATTTCTTTTTTGCTATATATATATATATATATATAAAATCTGATGTTATTGTGACAGCTGGGAGTATCTGACAGGAAGAGCTCCACCTGTTTCAAATAATATCTGGCTGTCTGGTTTCACTCTGCCTGCCTCAAGAATGGTGATGGCTACAGAGCGAGGCCATCACCACCGTGGAAAGCAGGAGTCTGTCCAAGGAACATCGCACGTGAAACCCCTGAGCCTCCAGGAGTCACGCCTTTTCATTCTTTGAGTTGCTTTCTGCAGCTTTGTTGTGCCCGCGAGCAATTGTCCTTGCCAGGAGCAGCTTCACAAAACTGCAAAGAGTTGGGACGCCCACACACACACACACACACACACACACACACACACTTCTATTATTACATGAATTGTTTAATATTTAGAGTTAAAAATCTGAAAGTGAACAAACCGCATAACACCAGAATGACCATGTATATCCTCGTTTTTATTAAAATTACATTAAAATGTAAAAGTATTCACAATGATTCAATCAGGTCAAGATTCTGGAAAACTCAAGAAAGCCCTGAAGATGACATGGCCTGCTATCTGACACATAACAACTACAAACACTTTAGGGAGTTTATGAACAGCATAATGAAAACTCTGAAGTGTCTCAGCATGTCTCTTTTCCAGCTGGAACAGTGTCCACCATTGTCTGCTTACAACCATGCACTCGAGGTGGTTTCCGCCTGTTAAAGTCTGTCCAGGTTTTTCCTGGTAATTTAACAGTCAAACAGGAAGCACATCCTCTTGTACAGGGCTCTTAATCTGGTTCCAAATCAGTTTTTACTTGTTTCCGGTGTTATGGGATCCAAAGTTTTATGATCAATCAGCCACAGTGTCACTATGAAGGACCATTAAAACCAGAACCCAGTCCCAGAACCCCCCCCTGCAGGAGGCAGGGGGCGTTATTTCCTCCCCATTATGAAGCTCGGAGCCTCGGCATCATCATCAGCCTCCCTGTCCTCCTCCTCCTCCTTTCCCTCCTCCTCCTCCTCACTGCTGTCCGAGCTGTTGTCGGAGTCTTCCTCGTTTTTCTTTTTGGCCTCTTCCTTTGCCTTCTTTGCCATCAGCTTCTTCTTCCTCAGCTTTTCTCGCTTCTTCCTGCGCTTCGCGGTTCTCTCCTCGGCCGCCTGTTTATTCTGCTCCACCTTATCCAGGTAGTCCAGGTCCTCGTTTTGTTTCTCTGACATCTTGTCCAGGAAGTCCTGCCTCTGGTACTCTCTGCGTCGGAGGTGTCTGTAAACATGGAACTCCCCGCTGCCAGCACCGGCGCTGGAGCCCATCACATCCCGGACGAACTCCGGCGGAGCCCGCGGGTTCCACTCTTTGGGCCGGTCCGGGATGGGAGCGGGTTTATCCGGGTTCCGCATCAACCTCTCCAACTTCAGACGCTGTTCCTCCGCCGGAGTTTTGGCGATAATCAGAGGCTGAGCCTCTTTTCCTCCAGGTTTCCCTGGCTTGTTATTCTTCTGCATGTGCGCCGCCATCTTTCAGACCGTCGTTGTCTTTTTCCTCTTTGCTCCAGTCGCCCCGGAAGTTCTTGAGGGCTTCTGTAACCCGGAAATAATTAGCTTACATTTTTTTAATACTTGTTTTTTTTTGTTTTTTAACATACAACATTGATTACGTGTGTGTCAGTGGCTGTGATAATATTGATTTATTTTTTAATAAAGTGTGGCTTTGAGAAGTGTAACTTGTGTAACTGATGTAATTGACACGGGGCGTCGACCAATGGTAAGCCACATCAGAAACTGGTCAGACGCAGCTGTCCAATCAACGCTCAGCTCCCGCCCCTCCTCGCGAGCCTTAAGTGTGTAGACGGACTGGTTTTATCCAGCTTCTTCAGACGCAGGCTGGTCAATTTCTACATTTCTTCTCCTCACACTAAGACCGAGTTCACCAAAGACCATGAACAGTTTAATTAGAGCTACTGCGAGGTGTCTGCGGTCCGGGGCGGCGGTCTGTCTGCCCAGACAGACCAACGGACGCGTGTGGTCGGCCCCGGCCCGGTTCCTGTGCGCGGCGGCGGACAGGAAAGACCTTGGTGAGATGGTGAAGAAGGACAAAGTGGTGGTGTTCATGAAGGGGACGCCGGCACAGCCCATGTGTGGCTTCAGTAACGCCGTGGTTCAGATCCTGCGGATGCATGGGGTGGAGGACTATGCTGCGTACAACGTGCTGGAGGACCAGGAGCTCAGACAAGGTCAGTAAACCGAGATAAGCTTTTCACGACATGACAGCAACAAGTTGTTACCTCTCAGTGGAACCGACCTTTTCCCTCAGTGACAGTGGAGGTGGTCAGTGTGCCTGTGTCTGCTGTGAGCGGGGTCAGCCTCTCTCAGCTGTCCTCTTCACTGGCACATTCAAACCTACACTGTATCAGCCTGTTGGACATTTCCAAGTGTTGGGTTTTTATCAGTACCCTGCAGCAGGAACAAAGGGTGTGGCCCCTTTTTTTTCAAGTCAAATTGTTCACCATGCTTTATAGCTTGTTCATTTTCTCTTTTGTTAGTATTTGTTTTTATTAGTTCAGGAACAAGGAAATGCCTTTTTGGAGTTACATCAGCACTGCCCTTTAATGGGATTTTGTCAATTGGGGCTTATGTAGCAACAGCAGTGTAATGCCAAGTCATGCTGAAAGGGACAACCTGACTCATACCTTTAATTCACCCAGAATCCAATTGATGGGGGATTTAATATGGGACAGGGTGTGATATTCAGGTTAAAGAACAACAAATAAAGGTCTGAATACAAATATTTTACCTGATTAGACATGAAGTAGTTGACACGGAGAATGAGATGAACCTGTTGAACACGCATTAATAAATATTGGATTTTATATTGATGTAACAGCCAGCGGTGGTGCATTCTCCCACATTATTCAAAGTGGGAGATATTGTACGTGTCAAACCTTCCTGATATCTCTGACTGAATTACAATTTGAAGGCGGCATTTTTCCCCATTCGCCTGCTTGTAATTACGTATTCAATGGACCGGGACAAAAACATGTTTGTATATTTCCTGGTGACACAAAAAAATAACAAATTGAGTCTCATTGTTTGTGTTATTTCCCACAACCCGGGTCTAAAGGGTCAGATAGACAGGATGTTAACTGTAAGATTACCAAAATATAAAAACAGTCTGAATGTCAAATGGCTAATTGTTAAGTCTAGTGCTGTCACTGCTGTAAGTACAATAGTGTAAAACATTGAGAAGCTTTTCAGAACTCATAAAGTTGGAGTTCTTCCAGCTGTTTAAACAGGTCAAACAGTACTCCTCATGACAAGTTAATCAGTCTTCATGTATAAAACCAGCAGAGTGCTTCTCTACCATCATGGTTTTATCAACATTTGGTCTCTCTGTCATAAGTTAATACTCCTCCCAGGTTTCTCTGGGACACCTGATTCAGTATTGGTTTTAGTTTACCTCTGACTCCGACGCCATCTGCCTTCCACAGGAGTTAAGGACTTCTCCAACTGGCCCACGATCCCTCAAGTGTACTTCAACGGCGAGTTTGTCGGAGGCTGCGACATCCTGCTCCAGATGCACCAGAATGGAGACCTGGTGGAGGAGTTGAACAAGCTGGGCATCAGCTCTGCACTGCTGAACGCTGAAAAAGAATCCAAGTAGAGGAAGAGGACAAACTTCAAACAGCTGACAAGACAGAGGACACATTTATCAGGTTGATCCCCCCCCTCCGGCTCAGATATTCGCAGATTAATCAACTCTATAGGCAGCCACGGGCAAAAGACCCACCCTTCTGGCCAATAAGTCAGAGCAGAAATGTGACAGGTGTAAGCAGCTTTAGTGGCAGCACTGTATCTTGAGTCATGAACATTTGTGTTTAACCATGTTCCATATCTATGAACAGAGCAAACGGAGCTCCTGCTGTACTCCTTTATACTAGATTCAGGTCCTCTAAGTTTGCACAGATCATGTAGCTGCCTTTTAATAAAAACAAATAAAAAAAGAGACAGTGTCTTTACAGATCCAAAATCAGTTTTAGCTAACCCTCTACCCATATTTCTCATATTCTCGTCATAGCTGTGGTAGCGATCTTTGGCCATTTGGGGGTGGGGGGGGGGGGGCAGTGGAGACAACACAATGCTTTACAACCTTTTTAAAGTTGATTCTGTTAGCAGTTAGCGTTCATTTGGAGTTGCGTTTCTGGTCACCTGATGGATATAATACAACGTTTACTCTCCTTCGTGCTCCCTTTTGATTTCCATCAGCTTCTGAGAAAAACTCTCTTTAGCTGCTCAATGCTCCACTGTGTCTACAAGCTAGTTGCTAACTTTCTCTGTCTGCTATCTGGTGCTAGGCAGGTTAGCGTACACTGTGTTCATCAAAGGTTTTTTGCTGACAGCTGCCTCCTGTAGCCAAAAAACAAGTGAACCAAAATGATAACCAGAAGGGCTGGAAATGAACTGATAGATGCAACCAAGCTGTATATTACTGAGGGAAACTGCAGTCCGGTATTTAACCTCTTTCACATTACACATTGATCCACTGATTATAGCAGCTTTAAGATTTCCCTGTCACTCAAGGAAAAACTCTGATATTTGACCTCTATCTCCTACATTTTAAATACTTTTCTATCACATCTTGATTCACCAACTTAAATACTCTCCTTTTAAAAAAAAAAAAAAAAAAAAAAAGAAAAACTCATTAAAAATCCACACCAGCATGGTTGTTGAAATCAGGCTTTTTGTGATAAATACAGTAATGAACGTCTGACAACACTTCCCATCGAGGTTGGACTTCTACTGCCAAAGGGAGACTGTACGTTCCCTCCCTGTGTTTTAATTTACACAAAAAAGCCCTCTGATAACCCTGCTACCTCTACTGTCCACCTTCTGTCCCCCAGCCACAGGCTGTGTAAGACCAAATGAGCCGAGGTTAAGATCTTTGCAACGCTGCTTGGGTCGCTCTAGGAAAAGATGTCATCATACTGGAAACCTTCCAAATGCACTGCCTGTGACTACAGTATACTAGAAGGAAGAACAAAGAGGGGACAGGGCTGATGTTAGGGGTTCATGGTAATATAAAGATGTTTAATATCAGGCTAATTACATTTCTGTTACACATTTCCTTTTGTAGTGGAGGTGACTGAAGACACGAACCCTGCCTCACAGACGTTGTTACACTATCATTATTATGACTCTGATGGAACCAACACCACGTCCCCTACTTGTTCTTCCTGCCAGGAACCACATTGTGTACGTGTCCGCTCTGTTCGATTGTCGACACCCGCTGAAACGCAACAAACACACCGTGATACCTTTTCTCTTTTTCTTGAGAACGACTCATTTACAGCACATTTGGACAGCAGTTATATTTAAAAGTTAGTTGCATTTGTCCGAGTCTGTAGTATTTGTTGATTTGTCACTGAAGAAAAAGTGGTTTTATTTTTATTTTGAGGGGTGGGGAGTTTGTTTGTTTTTGAGTTCTCACTGAGCCCCTGATATGTATGAATCCTAGATGTTCTTCCTGCTGCACACAGTTGTATTATCAAAGCAATGGTCATGAGGTACACTGTAAGATATTGTACATTAAAAGCATATTATTAAATGTATTTTAGCTGCATGTAAACCCTGCGCCAATTAAATATTTTGTGACACAAACAACAAGCGACCCGGAGTTCTCTTTTTTTGTATTACCATCAGAATGCGGGGACATAGTCACCATGGGCTCTTGGAAACGGTGACTGTCTTATTTTAACCCCAAAGATCTTCACATAACTATCATGTATGACAAGTAAATCTACATGTTTATCGTGCTAGAACATTTCTTCTTGAAAAATGTGTTCATCAACTAATTAACACTGCTGATTAATTTGACTTCAATCAACAGTAGTGTTGTTTCCTAGCTGTACTGTGCTTGACCAAGGTTTATGGATATAATACCAAAGTATAACTCAGCAGCTTTAGCACTCATTGATTTTCACACCGCCACCAATCATAAAACCACCATCCACGAGCTGTTTGAAAGGCCTTTTTCACAGCAGACATTTTGACCCGACAGTAGAAGCACAGATTTTACTTCTAACATTAACAATGGCTCCGTTCTATTCCAGTGTCCCTGTAAGTTGTGACAGTGAGGCAGTATGTACAGTATAATTATATAGTACGTATTTATTTAAATATATATATATATATATATATATATATATAAAATATAAAAATATATATATTTATTATGAGACTGAAGCAGCTAAATGGAATTGTGCTTTTCCTGCTGTGACATGTCAAACTGTCTTCTTTGAAAAGGGCCTATTGTGGATGTTTCAGTCCCCTCTTTATAACAATAACCTTAGATTTCATTCCGCTTTAGCTGGGAATATTTTGTACCCAATTACTAAGAACATGGGGTTCATGATCAGAGCAGGAAACTTTAGCCGATCACAAACTGACATGAGATCTGGATTAAATTTATTTTGGGATTGCAAATGCCATTTTAGACACTTTTTAAATATAAAATGGGATAGTGTGAAATGTAAATGTTTGGCAGACATGACCCAGAGGAACTTACTTGGCTTTGGAATTTTTCTGTTGAATTACTCACTCACTTCCTTCTTTGGAAAACCCAACCTCAGGACTATCGATGTCTGCGTTTTCACTTGTGTCTTACTATCTGCGTTTCCTGAATGAAGAGGGTTGCAATAATGAGACTCACTGAGATGACCTTTAACATGAATCTTTTTTTAATACAAAATACTATTTTACAAAATATAACTGGATTGTGATGTTAAATATTACTGTGGTTGGGAAAGTCCTGTCCCTCCACCCTCATCTCTGTCACTATCCACAGTCCAATACAGCAGAAACACTTAAAAAAAAACAACAATGGGGAGGATTGGGGTCAGAGTTTCTGCAGGAAGCGGAGCACCAGGTCTCGCAGTGTGGTACGCAAGGGCTCGTTGTTGTCACAGACGATGTGCGTCCCATCCTCCTCCAGCTGAATCAGTGTGTCCTCCGCCTGCAGGTGGAGAATGTGTCCGTCTGCCGTCTCCTCCACTTTGACCTCTGTGATTCCATGCTGCAGAGCGGGAGCACAGACAGTTTTATTTTTTGTTTGATTGTTTTTCCACTATGGATATAAAAATGCAAATGTGTGAATTTAGAATTTGTTTTGGAAACATTGGCAGGTATGTGTTGTTTATCTTGTAAATCTGCTGTGGTACAATCTCTGGCCCCTGCAATAAAATACTACTAATCCCAACAATGGAATTATGCATGAAGAGGCTGCGATCATCTCCTTTGGGAATGCTGTACGAAGGGGGCAATGACAAGAGGGCAAACATTAATTTGATCTGCTGGCTGTTTTATAAACAACACTGCAGATTTCACACCTTTTGCAATGTAGCCAGGAAAGCTTCCAGGGGCACCGCTCCGCTCAGCAGGGGTTTGGGGGCCAGCACTACTGGAGGCTCCTCTATCACCCGCTTTCTCTTCTTGCTGGGGGGCACTGGAGGGGGTTTGGGCACCGACTGGCAACACAGGAGAGGAAAAACTTTTTTAGCAAAACTAAGCTCCATATTTGCACATTCCAGTATTCCTGTTTTAGTGGAACAATTCAAAAGACAGACACACTCACCTGCAGTGTGTGCTTGTTGTCCTTGGAGTGCAGCACTGCAGACACAGTTGCCAGAGAGATGCCAGGTTTAATCTCAGAGGGCACCAGGGAGTTGGCCAGCTAGGAATAGAAGAAACTGACTTTTAGACTTGAAAATTGGCCACCTGTTCTCTGACAGGAGTTGGAATAATTCCATTATACATTTCTCTCTTTCATTCAGACAGCTTTTTACACACCATATGTCACTTTCTCCTCCCCACACGAGAGAATTGAAGTGTGCACTCACTCGCCATCTGTTTCCAAAGGTACAGATTTCTATCTTTCATTCAGCATCAATCTGTGAGTCTGTTAGGTTCCTTTTAACCAGACAAGTTGAAGAAGAATATATTCATAAACACGTCAGTTACCGCTCTGATGTGACTCACCTCAGGCATTATGTAAACGCGTTCATAGCGGCGTCTGAAGGGCAGGTTGAGTACAGAGCAGCGTCTGTAGGGCATGGGAGGGGGCTGCAGCTCCAGCATCAGATCAGAGCGGTGGGACTGGGTCAGCGGGGGCTGGGTGTACTGCTCTGGACAGACCACATGGAGGGGCTGCAGGAAGAGGAAGACAGGAGACATCAGGAAACTAAGAGATGCATGCGAGGTGTCCCTGAGCAGGATGCTGAACCCAGGACGTGTACTCCCTCCTGCTCTGCCCTGAATGCTCACTTTGTTCTGTTATCTTGTTTATGCCTTGCCTTTTAGCTCGTACAATTGTTCCCATTCTCCAGTCTTACCCACAGGACTGCTACTGACTGATTATTTGCTTGTTGCACAACTCTCCTCTTCCCAGTGTTGCGTATAAACAAAAAACCCCATGAGGCAGCCATTTCTGCATTAAACACGTTGATAGTTTTCCAGTCATTATCTCGCTCTATTTGCCAATTGTTAAACTCCCTGCTTCCTTGTGTAAACTCACGCTTATGGAATTATTTCATGGAAGTGTAATACATTTTACTGCTTACTTCTGCTTAATGTTCCTCTTACAACGCCCTGTAACTGGTAGAGAAAATAGTGCTCACAGTACATTCACCATATTTATGAATGGTCCCACGACAAATGAGTGTTGGCCGTACCTGCACTTCTTTGAGCAGCTTTGATACTTGGTGGAAGTTGAGCCGTGTGTCAATGGGACAGTAAACACACTTCATAGCCAGTGGCTGGTAGGGAGCCAGAGCATCCAGGTAGGAAAAGTCTGGCTCTGGTGGAAAGAAAGAAAAGCGACGGAGGCTTTTAGAAGCATAGCTTTGTATTTATAATAACAGGATGACATCCTTTCATCCAGGTCTAGTGTGTGATATAGAAGTGCTTATGATCACCAGTAAAGATGATGGTGTTGAGGCTGGATTTGCCCCACAGCTCCATGAAGTGAACCACGTCCCCGAAGCGCAGCGACGGGTGACCGGTGAACACCACGCACGGCTGACGGAACTCGCTGCTGAAGTCGCCGTGAATACTGGGGTAGTGCTTCAGCTTGTTGGTCTGGATCAACTGAAACGACAACACAGGGATTATAGGAGAGGAGCCGGCCTGATCATTTCCCGTTTGTTCACTCACCAGCTCAACACATTGTTAAAAACACTAGAACAGCCATTCTCAATCACTGGGTCTCAGAGCGCCATCTAGTGGGCTGCGGAGGCAGTGGTAGCCAAATGGTTAGATTAAAAGGACCACTGTGTAGGATTTAGTGGCATCTAGTGGTCAATTTGAAGATTGCAGGTAACTGAACACCGCTGGCGTCTGTATTTGACGAACTAGGAATGAGAACAGGTTGTGACGTGTGGAGGAGAAACTATGGTCGTATATATACAGCCAGTGTTTGGTTTTTCTGTTCTGGTGTTCCGGGCTACTGTAGAAACATGGCAGTTCAACATGGCCGACTCCATGGAAGGTGACCTGTGGCATCTGTACATAAAACTGCTCATTCTACGGTCCAAAAAATACAACAATTCTTACTTTCAGTTGATTTTTTGGTAATTTACAAAGCTAGTTGTTTATAACTCTAATTCTAAATGTGCTCAAGAATTCACATCAATAAAAAACCTCAAGTTAAAATAATTTATTTAATTTAGTTACGCCTGAATATCACAACACTTCAACAGGTAGAGACAATGTGGTCAAATCCTGTAACAGCACAGTTTAGAGATTTTTTTTTGTCCACTTTCTGGCCATGTTATGATTTTTTTAGATGATTCGATACACCAAATTACTATCTTCTGCAGCCTGGGCACTGTGGTTTGTTGGTTTGTTTCAACTGATTCCTGGTAACAGACTTTTTTTTTTAATTAAATGACTACTACTACTACTACTACTACTACTATTACTACTACTACTACTACTACTACTGATTACCATGAAATGTAAATGAAAATATACTTGTCAAATGCATTTGTTTAGGGAAATAGTGCATCTATTTGTAGCATTGTCAGATAACTGCATATGATTTCAGAAACCTTCCCAAGCTTTTTACTGGTTTGCAGGCTCATTTCTGTGGTCAGTAGCTAGCAGAAAAATCTGGATTTACAACTATTCACCATCTCTGGAGCACTGTTGGTCATTAGCAGGAGACACAGTGGCAGGACTCACCTCTGCATGAGGGAACGGAGGCTCTGGAAGATACACCTTCGATTGCTTGTTGTGACAAAGCCTAAAACGAGAAAAAACAAAACACAAATCTAATCAAAATATCCCAGAGTTATCCTGGAGTGCAGTATCAGGTGACCATAATTCTCAACAGAGGCAGAACAGTACAACCAGCCCACTGCTGTAAACAAATATTGTTTACAATTTGATTTGACTGTATTTACAAGCCTTTAAACTGACATTAGAATCAAGTTAAACACAGCTGTTTCACAAAATGTCAATACTTCTGTTTGCAGCAATTCTCCATCCTGGCAGAAAGTTATAATCAGTAGACAGTAAATGTTTGACTTCACTAACCAACACTGCCTGTGGCATGAGCACTGTTAATCTATCACCAGTCAAAGGCAAACAATTAAACAAGCAGTTTAAGTGGCATCTAGCAGTGAAGTCACAGATTGAAAACCACTGAATACCCTTAATCCACCAAGCTCACAGCAAAACTAGAGCCAGAGTTTGGTTTGTCTGTTCTGGGCTACTGTAGAAACAGTTCAACATGGCGGACTCCCTAGAAGTGGACCCGCTCTCTCTGTACAGCTGCTACTGTTAAGTCAAATAATCAATTAGTTGTCAACTATTATATTAATCAGAAACTATTATAATAATCAATAAATTCTGAGTTGAGTTTTTAAGAAAAAATTCTCTGATTTCAGATTCTCAAATGTGAATATCTTTCTTTAGTCCTCTGTGACAGTAAACTGAATATCTTTGGGTTGTGGACAAAACAAGACAATTAAGGATGTCACTAACATTCTTTTCACCCTTTTCTGGACCAAGCAACTAATCGATTAATCGAGAAAATAATCAACATATTAATTGATAAAGGAAATAATCCCTAGTCACACAGCGATATAAAAGTTGTCATACATCAAGTATGTTGCTAGAAAATAGTGCTGCACAATATGGTTTAATATTGTGATTGCAATAAGATTCACAATTAATGTGAATGATCATTTCTGCATCACAATTTTCATTTTCAGTGGAAAGAAATATTAAAACCTTTATGATATGACATTTGTTAGGGTCTGTAATAAATAAATGGGTTTTCTTATATCTGCAGAACAAGGTTTGTATACCAGGGTATCTCTGCAGCACTAGAGCACTTCAATATGAAGTTTTGTCACACACTTTACCGTTATCAAAAAATTGCACTTGGTCATATTGCTATTTGATAATATTTCCATTAACTGTGCAGGCCGACTAGAAAACAAGAAGCCAGCTTTGACAATCTGTACATCTGTAACTTAATGTTAGTTTTATCTTAATCCATCGCCATATTTGTATTGTTTTCTTTTCTTTCATTGCTGCTTTACCTTCCAGGTACTGTACAATGACAGATTTGTAAGATAAGGAAATTTGGATGAAAAGCTCCTCACCACTCAGCAAAGATTTGAGAGAACTCCAGCGAGCTGTTGGCAACAGGGGAGATGAAGTAAAACGGCGTGGTCCCCAGGTTGGCGCTCTCAATGAACTGGTACAGACACTCCAGCAGGTCATAGATCACCCCTGAGGAGTAGCACGGCACTAGCACATTGCCTCCTGCTCGAATCGTCATGGCTAAAAGCACAAATGAATAATAAAGGGTGGCGTTAAAACACTCACAAAGACTCCAGAGACAACATCATTCACCATCACTTAAACAAAGCCTGACGGGAAGTATGATTCATTTACTAAGAAGTATTTACTTACAAAGGATTTGATTTATTTATATAACATGGAAACATTTCAAAGTTTTCGAAAATGTAATCCAACCGACATTATCTGTTTGAACCTACCGAGGTTGCTGCAGAATTCTCCCAGCATGCCATCTGGGTTGGCGGTGGGCATCTGGGTGAGGCCTGTCAGAATCAGAACATCACTGTTCTTAAGAGAGCTTTGGTCCATCGGCTGAGAGAAGAGAAGAACAGACACTTTAAATTATCACCAGCCCTGTCAGAATGTCCCAACGGTCTGTCACTTCCAGCTTTCCCCGACAAAAACACAACCAGCACTTTACAAAACTGACTGGAAAGATCATTTTCTACCATCCTAACTGACAAAAACTAAGATACAAATAAGAGACTTTGTTTATCTTTTCAGTTGGGGAACGTTTAAAGATCTGTCATGTTGATGTAAATGCATTTTCCATACATACAAGTAAAGTGAAACATTAGTTTCGACCCCTGCAGGTTTTTCTCAGACCTTGTGTGCACTTTCCTCTAACATTAGGCCTGCTGACCTACCTGTGGATGTGTGGTGAGGAGAGATGAACCCGACACATAGGAAACCTTCTCATGATGAGACTGGATGATCCAGTTGGAGCTACCCAATGAGTAACCAGAGCTTAAGGGGGAGACCTGTACAGCTCCAAACAACTCCTGGAGAAAGAAAGACGAGAATGTAGCAGAAAGAGGACATAAACCTATTTTAGTTGTATGTACAAGCATTAATGATTCATCCTGCACTCACAGCGTATTCTCTGACCTAATGGGCTGTATCAATTTATTTTATCATTGTTGGTGTATGCCTGTGCAGACAGTGTAGGAGAAAAGAAGTTCGTACCACTTTCTGTGAATAGCCCACAAGCTGCACCTTGCTGAGGGCAGAGTTGACCTCCTGCATGCTGTAGGATCGCTTCCACGTCCACACGTCTACTGCATCCTTCAGCGGCCCAGGCAGCATCCTAATACAATAAAAAGATTGATTTATTTATATCATATTGTATTGTTAAATAAAACTGCATGATAAAAAAGTGAAAATTAAAAGCAAGAAAGATAAAACAGAGAAGAGATAAAGTACAGGTAAAAAAATTATATAATGTGTTTTTATATTTTAAAGTTAGAGTAGTTTTAAACATATTTTCTACTGTAAAATGTAAAATATTGAAATACATATTTCCCACAACCACCCCCCGACTCTTCTCAGTTCTTCTCTATGGTCTATCTACCTTTGTATTTCCTTATTTTTCCAGCAGGTGGCAGACTGGGCTTTGGGAACTCTCTCCATGAAGTTCACCAGTTCCTCCATCAACAGCCTGAGGAAAATAACAGCTCATATCAGGAAGTCTTACATATCTGATACCAAAGCTAATGTTTAGTTACCAACACAGCATCAGGCAGAGATTATTTTCCCAAGATTACATATTCTCAAAAACTGAGTTCAACAGTTGTTTTAAACCTCCAACCATCTCTTTTTACAAAAACCAGGATAGGAGTGAGAAAAACAGTGTTAAGAAAACATGCATATTTCCTTTAAAACAATATGATGACGCTTTCTTCCCTATATCTCCTTACCTGCCAATCTGCAGGGTGGGTTCTGTGGCGTACACAGTCCCAGTGAAGCCTGTGTGTTCAGTGATATAGGGCAGGGCCATCATACAGTGATAGTTGGAGATCAGGATGACATCAATGGTAGACAGATCCAGCAGTTCTTTCTGTGGCCAATATAAATTAGAGAGATAAGACAAAAGAAATGCACTTTAACTAAATATACTGTATGTGTGGTGGTTGGGTGGTTTACTACCTCAGGGAGACAGAACTCTGGCTGTGAGTCCACAAACACTCTCCCCGCACATTCCTTCAACTCCTGGAAAGACGAGGAAATGGATTGTTTGTTTACTTTTGTAGCCCTTTGCCACACGTAAATCTCAACTTACACTTTACAGACATAGAAAGAAAGAAAAACCACTTTAGGAAATCTCACAAATCAATAATAAAAACACACGTTGAAGTTTAGATACAAAAAAAAATACAACAAAAACAGTTCCTCAGACCTTTTCCAAGTTTAATGTTCCATCCTTAGAGACCCAACCAGGTAGCTTGGAGAGTCTTGGGCTGATAAAGGACACATAGCGAAGAAATCACCATGAATAAATGAATGAATGAATGAATGAATAAATAAATAAAGACACTGCCACTGATACTCAGAGACTCACCTGTGCACAAGAGGAAGGGGCAGGAAGTTGAGGACAGAGGTGGTGTCCAGCCCACAGTCCAGCATGATAGTGGTGGATTTGAACTTGAGGACATTGCAAGGCAATGTAGGATGACCAGACAGGCAATACTGGAAGACATGGAAGGAAGACACGGAAGGAAAAGTCTTTAGAGACACAAAAAGAAGTATAACTCCTGACAGATAGAGCACATGCAGCATCATCAACACATACTATTTAATACAGACAAGATCTGCTGACAGTCTGCACTTCTGTGTAAACACACACACACACACACACACACACACACACACACACACACACACACACACACACACACACACACACGGCTGCAACGTTAGTCTCACTGTAACTCGTACACAACAGACTGCATATATGAAATACTTTACATAGTTAAGGTTAGCCACAGTGGATGATACAGGGCTGCTAGCTGCTAAGCTAACGGAGTAGCTATGACTAAACATACCCTGAATGGTTTACTAACGCATTATTACAGTCAGCTGCGGTTGGCTTTGTTACTTTAATTGTGCTTACAGCCTGTTTACTCACCAACTTCATTTCCTAGACTAACAACGATTGATAAATGAGTTAGTTAGTAACGTTAGGTAGTCGCTTCGCTAACACTGCATCCTTCCACAGTGTTTACCGGCACTCCGCTCGCTTTGTCTCCACCAGGTGTTTGCCCTCTACCGCCCCCTGCAGGTGTGGAGTGTTTCTTAAAGTCACAGTGTATCGCTTACACAGGCTGGCTCAAATGCGCCAAACGCTGCACCAAACAGCACGTATCAGACTGTCTGTGTCTGTCTGTGTCTGTCTGTGGCTGTCTGTGTCTCACAGGCTAGTAATGAAAATATCAATCAAAGTTGTCAACAAATGCACGTGCCCACAAGCTGCAGGGCTGTCAATCAGAGACCACCCAGAGCCATATATAAAACAGCTCGCGTCGTCTGTGGAGGACAGACGTACAGGTGTCTGTACTGTTATTATGATGATAATATTAGTTTGGCGGCCAACTTATTTTAAGTAGGGAGAAGTTTTAAGGCAGCCAGAGACGGGGCGACTACTACAGGACGTTGGAGTAACACTTTCCATTCACTACTCTGGTTTAGCCCCCTCCCATGCTACTAGCAGCTAGCTTTAACTCCAACATTAACGACCTGTCAAACCACTCCCGAGTGACTCATGCTGGTACTCTAATCTCGATAAGGGGAATCAGTTAACGTTACGTGGTAATGTTGCGAAACTGATGTAGTAACATTGGCACCCAACTACTTCTGTATCTCCGGTAGGCCTTGTTTTTGTTAATATAGTTTTATTTGTGTTTCTGTGGCAGCTCACCAGAGGATATCGAGGTTAGCTCGCAGTTGAAACTACTGGTCGATGTTTTCTCATGGAGGACTTGTACTGATAGTAGCTAAGAGGATATACGAGTGGGCAAGGACAGGTAGGGGTTGAAACAGCACATTTTCACTCATAGCGTAAACACACGCATGTCCTCCACACCTGTGAGGTTACGTTACAACAAAAGTGAACCTCGGTGTGGACTCTAACATCTGGTTACACATTATAATACCTTATTATAGCTGTGTCTGACTCAAACACTCAAAGCGGGAGTCAGAAAGTTGGACACACTGAAGATAACAACATACATAGGTCTCAGCGGTCACCAGTAATAAGTCATTGCTCATATTTTACATATTCTAACAAAAGAACATCACTAAAGGAAAGTTAGAAAAGAGCATTTTGATATTGTTCAGTCAGAGTGTCGAGCTGTGTTCATAATGTGCCTGGAGTCAGTGTCAGCAGCCGGGCAGTAGCAGTCTGAGTGCCTGTTGTTTTTGTCAAGTCATGACTCATGTTGTCTATATCATGACTGTCGTCCTTGTCAGACTCCGGTCACTACTTCCTACAAAACTGCTCCGAGCATTGTAGCAAACCAGTGTCTCTGTGTTTTGACAGATCAGAGGAGGTACACCCTCAGTTTCTTCGCCATGGGGAACTCCTGCAGTAATCATCTAGGGATCCCTCCAGCCAAGGGCCCCTACCCTGTGGGATGTACTGACTTCATGATGGACCACACTGCACAGGTAACAGACACTCATATTTAATTAATCATAGAGGATGTGTTGACTTTGCCTGTATGTGCATCTGTATTATTTATTTAGATAGGAAAAGAAGTATGCACTGTATGCCTTATATGTCAGTGGCAGTGTAACAAATGCAGAAGATGTGAATAAATGAAATTAAAATGTCAAATAGGAAAGAGACAGCAGTATTTGGTAAGGTGTGTGATCTTCTATTCTTGTTTACAGGGCAGCTTCTTCCGGCTTTACTACCCTTGTCAGGAGACTGAAAAAGCAGAAAAACCAGACTGGGTCCCTTGCAGGGAATATTTTAACGGTCTGGCAGACTTCATGAAAATCAACAGGGCTCTCAGTGAACGGATCTTCAACTACCTCTTTGGTACTTCAGTTAATAATATGCAACTGTCATTTATCCAAGTTTGTGCTGTTTCAGCTAGTCTTTCCAGGACCATACTAGTGTTTTTTGCATGTGTTTGTTTATTTAGGAGAAATTAAATGTAGTTTATATTAATACTTGAAATGTTTCCAGGTATACATTTGATATTTTTAAATGTTTTATACTAAATCTACTGAATTATACGTCACTTATTTTTGTCAAAGTTGCATTGTTTTTGTTGTTAGGGTTTTCAAATGAGTGCTTTACCAAGCAAAAATAACAAACCACTATTTCTCTAAATCTCCTTAGTGGTAAGTTTCAATTGTGCAAGTTCATGTTCACACTGTAGAGTTGCGTGGGAAACCGGTGGTTGACTTAAAGGTGTGAAAAACTACAGACAGTGTGATACGCTGCTTCTTGTTTCTGTTGTTTATTTCAGGGTCCTTTAAGATTCCAGCCTACTTGGACGCTCCATTTAAATCAAATGCAAAATGTCCTGTGGTTATCTTCTCCCATGGCCTGGGAGCCTTTAGGTATACACAGTCAACCATTTGTACACTGCTACAGTATTTAGTACTGCTATACATGGTGTAATTGGCATCTCCTTGGTGTTTCCTAGGACTCTGTATTCAGCTGTATGTGCAGAGTTGGCCTCTCAGGGCTTCATTGTGGCGTCCGTGGAACACAGGTATGTGTATGAGATTTTTTAAATTCAATCGATTTTGGCTGATATGTTATCCTCATGTTGATGTCCGGTTTTATTTCATTAAATCACAACAAAGGAATCAGGATTGTAGCACAGCTGTACAGCAGTGATTCAGATTCCATGTTGTAAGCTACCACATATATAATCTCTAGGTATTTGAACTATATTCAGATCTGTAGGCTGACCACACGTACACTGAAAATGAGAAACTATGGCCACGTGTCAGTTGGAGGAAGTTCTAGTTGAACGTTAGCCAAGCAAACAATAACAGGGCAGTCTCTTCTGCAGCGGCTGTCTGTTTATCTGTGGAGTAGGAGTGGAAAGGGTGTGTAGACAATAGTACAAACCAGGTCATCACATTTCTTTTCAGTATAGAGACAAGGGGACCATATGGAGATGGACATAATGGCTACAGTTAGTCTCTAACTCATGCGGATATTGTACTGAATTTTAGCAGCTGGTTAAAGGCTAAAGCCACAGAAAGAGCATGTGCTAGTGTTGTGTGAGTTTATAGCTGTGACATGAGTCAGACTTTGTTTCACATGCCTGCATTGATGGTCAGAGGTCAGTCCAGCCGCTCAACCAGTGGTGCTTTTGTCACACTGCCAAATTAGTTTGCTCAGCCTTTGGGCAAAAACAAACCAAAACAATTCATCCCCAGCAGTCATTTATTAGATTGTTGATCTGAAACCTAGAAACTGCCCTTTTTTTTCTTTTTCAGTTGAAACAGGATGTATTGTAAGCTCTTGCTAAAACACAACATTTCCTCGTTACAAAGGAAGTTATACCCACTTTTTTTTTTTTCATTTTAACTTTTTGTGTAAGAAGAACAATACCCAGCCCAACCCATGTCACTTTAAAAAAAATCTAAAATCTATCTTAAAGTTTTATCCTTTCTTCACTGAGTGTATCTTTGTTACACAGGGACCAGTCAGCCTCAGCTACGTATTATTTTCGTGAGAAGACGGAGTCAGACAAGGAGAATGTGCCTAATACCTCAGCCTCAGCCCGAGACAACTTGGTCAAAGAGTGGATGTACTACAGATCTCTGCATCACGGAGAGAGCGAGTTCCCCCTCAGAAATAAACAGGTATTATGAGCTGCACCTTAGGAGGTCAGACCCATGTGTTTCTCAACAGAATGACAGTGGCATATCTGAGTCAACAGTCACTGGGTGGCAGGTGGAGGTGGAGACATTATTCTTCTTTGATAAAACGTTGGTATAGAATTGGGAGCAGCTGGATTGCACAATGTCTGAACTTTACACTCCCTACCCAATAAGCTGCATGATGTTCAAATCAGACCACATCCTTGTTTATTCAGTTTCTTTCTGGTCATTCATGTGATGTGTCTCACATTATAACCTTTTGCCTTTTTATCTTGTTATTCCATCAGTGGTGTCTTTATTGCTCACTGCACTTTACTGTGCTTAGTTTGTGTTTTATGTGAAACTGTGGCAGTATTTAGTGTGTTAACTGTGTGAATCTTTGGTGTCGTTCCCAGGTGAAACAAAGAGCAGACGAATGCATTCTGGCTCTGGATAAACTCACTGAAATCAACTCAGGGATAACGGTGCAAAATGTGTTGCAAACACAGTTTGACTGGACGACATTGGAGGTAACCTCTCCCAGTAGTTTTGTGGTCTAGTTTTAGAGACTGTGAGTTTCTTTTGGAATGAAAACCATCCAACAAGGCAGCAGCAGACAAGATTTTGTAACAAAACAGACGAAATATGTAATTTACAATGAGACAGGAAGTGTGTGCCTAATAGAAACCAGTGATAATACAAGCAGGAGTATGTTGAGCAGGCTATATAGGGTTATTTTCCTGTTCTGGATTACAGTACGTAAGATTCACGATGTCTTTCATTTATATATTGTATCCCTTTTGTCTCCAAGAAATTCACAGGGAAAAAGAAAAGTGGAAAAACTTTGGTGTAATCTAATCTAATATAGTCTTTTCAGGTGAAATTGAATAAATAGTCCTTCAGTCAGTTTCCATTGTAGTGACCAAATATCAATAAGATGAAAACTGTACAACTTAAAATGCGAGGGACCAACCTGATTCTGAAACTGTTATCTTCTGTTGAGGGATATTTAACACAAACCTTATCCTAAATATGGTCATAACTTACGCAGCCACATATGTGTGAAGATGCAATTGGGTAGCGGTTCGAAACACACTAACAGCTCGTTCACACCACCTACCTGAGCAGCTTGAGTGTGTGGTGGGATGTCTTGCTTTTTTATTTCGTCGCCCATGTTAACAGGATAGAGCAGTGGGTTCAGTGTCGAAAGATAGGACTGACAGCAGCCGTCACACACTGCTCAGGTAGGCAGTGTGAACCGTGTGTGTAAGCCTACATACGCTATCACATTGAATCACACCCAGTCACAGTCTGTCAGAGTGTTCTTAACTGTAGAGCTACAATATGTTGGATGCTCAGTGTTCAACCTTATCAGCTGCTCTGTAGTGTGTTGACCTCTGACCTCTTGTCTCCTGGCTGACAGAACTCCATGGATCTGTGTAGGATAGCAGCCGTGGGGCATTCCTTTGGGGGAGCGACAGTGATTGAAGCTCTGTGCAAAGAGGTTAAATTCAAGTATGTGGAGTTTTTAATTATACGTTTACAGTAGACTTGCAGTCTGTCAGCAATTAACAATACCTCTCTTCCATCAGGTGTGGCATAGCGCTAGACGCCTGGATGTTCCCTTTAGATGACGAGATCTTTCCTCGGGTGAAGCAGCCCATCTTCTTCATCAACTCAGAGAAGTTCCAGTGGGCGGGGAACATCAGCCGCATGAGGAAGCTGGACTCAGCCCTCATACAGAGGAAAATGATCACTATCAGGTATAATGGACTAAACTGATACTGAGTTCATGTTTATTTGATGTGTTTAATCCTGTTGAGTGTGTAAAAGTCTGTACACATGTTTTCTTTCAACCCTCATCAGAGGTACAGTCCACCAGAGCTTCCCAGACTTCACCTTCCTGACAGGCAACTGGATCGGGAAGCTGATGAAGCTGAAGGGCGAGATCGACCCAGAGGTCGCCATAGACCTCTCCAACAAAGCAACACTAGCCTTCCTGCAACGACATCTTGGTGAGAACAGCAAAGCGTTCGCCGTCCCTGCCGGTTATTTCTTTCAACTCTGTGTTCTGCTGCTATTCTGAATGACAAAATCTTCTCTGGTTTTCCAGGTCTGGAGAAGAACTTCAATCAGTGGGACCCGCTGATTGATGGGCAAGATGACAACCTCATCCAAGGAACTAATGTTACTGTGCTTCAGTCTTCCATCTGAACTGCCCCACGAAACACCTGGGACTGTCTGGCTGTCAACTGAACGATACCACCTGGTGTATGGGACTCAAAATGCCAAACCAGGCCTACCTGGAATTTCAGGATACAATTTTGGAGTAGAGCCCAACGATGTATCGGTTGGCTAATATTATCAGCCTTGATTGGCCTATCGCAGACATGTCCGTATTGGATCGGTTAAGGGGATATATGTTATCTGATATGTAACAATATGAAAGCCTGTACCTTTGAATAGTCATACAGAAAAGTTCTATTTTCATTCCAGCTTAAGAAATTCACTGCATTGGCCGCCATATGGTTAATTAGTGCATTTTCCCCCTCTAAAATCGATATCGTCGGGCTCTATTTGGTATTAGTAACAGATAGAAAGGATAATCTCTACCTCACCTGCAGGAAAGATTTGTTTTTCTCAGCGGACCAGTGTTTGTTTCACGAGGCCTGAATGTTGCATACAAGCAGCTGAACACTTCCTCTTTTCACTGTTCTGCACTATTACCAGCAATTTCTTAGAGAAATTCTTTTAATCATTTTCATCTTTGAGTGTCGATAAAGCCAACTGAGATAATGTTATTTCACACAAATACTGTACGTCTCTTTGGATAAATGACTTTCCAGCAGAGGCGAATGACACTATGATTGCAGTGTGATTTCGTGACGAGGCCTTTAATGAGAATGGTATCCAACCAATGGGCTAGGGATGGGTACTGAAGATTTGTATGATTTCAGAGTAATTATTAGCAAAGATAGCAAAGTAATGTAACCATCCTGATTCAACCGAGGACAGCTAGATAAGCAAGTCAACATCATTGACACAATACAAACACTAAAGAGTTCAAAGTTATCATGTGCCATAACTCACAGTACTGCTTATGTAACAGCCTTCTACTTATACATTTGCTGTCTGATATATCTGCAATTTATACAGACACAAATCCAATAAATCTGGTTTGTATACAAATACATTTTCAGTTTATAAAGCATTTAATGCTCGGAGCTTAGGAAGAGGTTTTAAAGCTTTTGAATATGCTTGTGTAAACTGCAGAGGCCCACTACCAACAACTGTTTATCATCATGTTGTTTACTTTTGCTGCTCATTCAAAACACCACTCTTCCAAAGTGCTTCTATGAAATTCTGTTTATACACTTCTTGGTTAAGTATTTATCAAGCTATGATTAAGTCAAACATCATACAAGTGAATTAACTTTGTTTTTTAACAACTAATTCCATATTATCTGAATAAGCTATAATCCTGTTCATTCTTTTTATTTTGATAAACTGTTCAGTGCCTCAAGTGACCCTAATCTGTACCAAATCTCTTCGGCCAGAAGACATTTTTACAAACTGTATGTACAATTATTGCTATAATAATTGAGTACTATAATTTGATTTAGAGTAGAACAAGATTATATCACATTTGAAAAATACCAGCTGACTTCTCTGTAGTGATGACACATTAATTCTTACTAAAAGGCTTAAATAACTCCAAACAAGGGGAAAGGAAACCGATGACTCATCCCCATAGAGCTGCAATGATATTTATTGTGCCAACATAAATCTTGTATCCACACCAAATGCAGAAAACTTGCCACAAACACTCAAATCAGTATTTTAAATTCAACATAACATTCAGTACTTCTGAAAGAATTAGGAGGCATTTTATCAGAACAGGTCATCTGTAACACAACAGTGCTCTAAGTAACTGGGCAAGCACATTTAAGGTATTCACAACTATTAATGTACAAAGGCACTTTTAACCAGGTGGTTGTTTTCCAATCGGAACAATGAAATCAGCCATTGGGCCTGAGGATAAAGATGACCTGTCAGGTCAATCCAATAAATCAACACTGCCATTGAGGACTTACAGAAGAAACACAACAAAGAAAAAAACCCTGAACTTTAAACTGTTCGATAAAACTAAAAACATAAGCAGTTAATGCATTTTTCATTTGAGGTGTCTGATAAAGGCACAGGACAGAAACAGAGGGTGGGGTTACTCCTCTGGCTGCTGCTCCACAGACAGAATATCAGCAGAACCGTCACTGATGATCAGGGAGAGATGAGTTATCTTTGACAGCTGGGCCTCTAAAAAGGAAGGGGGGAAATTCATATCCGTATTAGCTTAATTTGTATTGCATGCAACACGTCACAGCATTCAAAGGAAGCAAGCAACTAATGGAGATTAGATTGAACAGGATGGGGTAGTGCTTTAAAGCAGCCAGACTGCAGATAAAGGAGCCCCCTGATCATTGTAATGACAGCTGTGTTGAGCTACAAGTTCTTTAAATATAAATAAGTTTCTTTGATGTATTCCACTGCTACTTAATACTAAAATTCTTAATTTTAACAGTTTAACTTTAAACAGATAATCTGAAGACCAAATATTAATATCACTTACCAAAACTGTCATCAGCAAAAGATGACATGTCTTCCTCAAGCACATCATCGCTGAAATCCTAGAAAATCATCAACAAATTCACAACTTAAGACAATGAGTGTGAGTGTGTTATTTTAACAGTCACTTGCACTGGGACCTTCTGAATGCTCTCGTGACAGAGTGAGGTGTACTCTGTGTACTTTAGAATGAACATAACCATCTCACCACACAGTTACCTCATTTTGCCTGGGGGGTGTTTGCACCAGCTGCTCACTGTCCTCTGTTTCAGCTTCTTCTTGCGGGTCTGAAAGAACAAGGAGAAATAATAATACATATATAATCAGACTTACAAATAAGCAGAATATGGCCTGTTTCTGCGGTCAGATAATGGTACTGTTTACTGTCAATCATGTATGTCTTTGTGAAAACCAAGATCAATGTTAACGTCGGAGAACAGACCTATTTGGCCATTAATAAAATTTAACTGGATATTAATTTACACCATAAATTGCGATGTATGACTGGCACATCAGGTCTGATACCTCTGCAGACGTCTGACAGACAGATATCTCCGACAAGACAGGTCACCTCTTCAACCAGATGACTCTAAAAAGCAACAAACACAGCATTTGCTGGTCAGTGATGTTTTTGGTGTTTAATTTCAGAATTGTGTTGATTTATCTCTATTACCAAATCTGGACAGGGAACTATGTAGGCCTGTGGCTCAGTGTCAGACGGCAGAGCTGCAAACAAACAGGCAGGTCACACAAATATTGTATGTCACAATATTTAGAATTGGCTACCTTCAAAAATATGTGCTATAAAGACTCCAAAGAGAGAGAGAAGATATATTAAGCCTACAGTATTAATCATTGTCTATATTGTGGTGTATTGTTGATAGAAATAACTCACCAATTAATTTTTCACAAGGAAGGTCCCCATAAGAAAGCAGTGAATTATTTTGGACCTGAAATTTAGGAAATAACATTTTATTGTATAGAAAAACAATTTCAGACACAATCAAATTACAGTACTGTAAGTATAGCACTTTACATACAACAGCAGCACATATGGGCACTATTTTATTTATGGCAGAGAACCAGGCCTTGTATAAGAGGCTTTTATTCTTATTTTACCTGCTTCCCAGTTAATGAAAACTCTTTTTACTATTTGCCAATCAGTGTTAAGCTACCATGAATAAAACTCTCCACTCTCAGCAGATTTGTGTTGACTCTTATTGATGGTAGCTTAACATTACTAACATTTACCGTTTTGATCTCAGAACAGCCTCTGAAGTTTAAATTAATTTTGTCGTTCACCCACCCTGAGCTGCAACACAGCCTGCAACCCAGTATGAAGAAACTGCAGATGCATGCACCTCACATGCAGAAAGTCATTGTGGTGCAATTTACCATTTCCTCTGCTGTTCTACTGCTGAGACAATCATCTGTAGCAACGGTTACTTCACCATCATCATGTTGCTCTTTTGGATCTAAAGTGCAAAGGAAAAAAGCCAAATCATTGATAACACAGTAAGATTAAAAAATAAGACTGCCTCCACTGCCAATTACTATGAAGCAGTGCTGTGATGATGGTAAAATGGTGATCAAACTGAATGCCTGGTAGTGTTTTGCAGTTTAATCAGGAGCCACTGAAGTGTGATACCTGTGCATACATCTATCAAACAGGCCTCTTCAACACAACACGTCACTTCTTCAACCCCGTCTCCCTGAGCATCAAAAAAGACAAAATTCACATATCAGACGTGACAAGTTTTGCAGTTTGATTTTAAAATTCAGTGGGTTCAGATCCATTACCGAATCTTGAGAGGGAGCTGTGCAGGTGTGTGGCTCACTGGCTGCTGTGTCAGCATCTTCACTGGCTGTTGTGTCAGCGTCAGCTAGCAGAGCTGCAGATACCAAGACAGATGATTTAGATACAGAACTTATGTGTTGCCTAATGGCTTCAAATTGCTTCCCCTCTGCTTATGAAAATAAAATAACAGAGACCAAGAAGCCACTTTTACTGGCACAACTGAATGAGATTAAAATAATTTACATGGCTTCATTATACTAAATTATGCTAAAAACTCAACTCAAGCACTCGTTTGTGTTTCTCCATCTTTGTTGCACACACAGTATGAACACGGAGATGCAAAAGAAAAAAAAAAAAACCTGAAAAGGTGCCCAAAGCAAACAAATATCTGAGATGTTACCAAACCTGAATATGTATGCTCATGGTGTGCCAAAGTCTCCTCTTCAGCCATCGAGTCATTCTAAAACAGAACAGATTATTTATCACTGATGTCAAACTACACAGGTACTCAGATTAGTCATCTGTACAGTACATTTTCAAAAAGTACTATTAATTCTCCACAAGGCAAAACCCGCACCCACAATACTGCATTTCCATAACATTACCTCAACATGGATAGTAGCACAGGGCATCTCTTCCTTTGGGACACATTCTCCAGCTTCACTTTCGTGCTCTGTAGGAACTTCTGTTAAGACAAACCACACTCCATCAAAATTTCAAAACACAGCATTATACCTCTACACTCAGTTTAGCAGTTTTATTTGTTTCCACCTGTAATACCAACATTTATTGAGTGCGACTTTTTATCCATCGTCTATAATGCAAAAATGCATTCCAACTTTCTGTCTTTTATTTTTAGTTACCTAAAGCTACAGTGTGTTGGAGGCTAATGTGATAGCTTGCCTTCAAAAATATGCCCCTTTTCAGATAGTTCCATAGCTTAAGCCTTCAGTATCTGGTGTTACAATGCAAAATCCCTTACCAAATGCACGGAGCATACAGGCAGGTAGCGCCAATTCAGGCTGAATCTACAAGATGATAAAATACAAGGAAAAACAGAGGGGATGAGGTACAGCTCATCTCCATACAAATACATTCCAGAAAACCACAGCAAACCTATCAACATACTTTTCCAGCTAAGAGGGGGTAAACTGCCCTGTAATGTACAGTGTGTAGCGATACAATCAACTTAATGTACCTGTACCGGATCAATGCTCCCCCTGGGACAAACAGCATCACGGGACACCTTTAGAAGACCACAACACCCAATGAGATTTCATTACCCATATGTACTCGTCAGTGGTAGTGTGTGATGTACTCAGTCACACAACTTACCATTTTCACTGTTGTTGTACTGTCAAGAGGACGATCCCTTGCAATAGGGACTTTGCTGTTGTCTGTTTCCTCAGCTGGATCTGAAATTGCAAAGAAAAATCAAGAAATGCTAAATGACTTCACACAATCACTGACCACAAGTTAACAACAGACGGCCGTCAGTTGTGAGTTAAAGTCAACAAGCACATACCATATGAGAAGCATACAAAACATTGTTACACTGAACACATTTCATGTACTAATTTACATTTAGCGGCTTATTTGATGCGACAGGAAATGCACCATATTGTTAACTAATCATAAACTAAGATAAAAAGGAGTGAATGCTTACCAGAAAAAATAAGAACGTCACAGCTGCTGTAGGTATTCACCTCTTCAGGCAAAGTCTCCAAGTCAGTCTCTGCAATCTCGGACTCATCGATGGCCTCCGTAGGGTTCTCATCCACTGGAGAGTTCAAGTCCTCTGGCCCAACAGTGTCCATCACTGAAGCATCCTCCACTTCAGTTCCTTCCACCAAAGTCTTACAAGCTACAGCAGTATCCATTTCTTGACTTTGGGGATCTAGCTGATCCTCGAGTGGTGCACTCTCTCTCACAGTTGAGTCCGTTCCAACTGCACCGGGCTCTTTTTCTGTCGTGGAGCTCTTCCACCAGGTTTTCAGTGCCTCATTTATCACCTGGCCCTCACATTCCATCAGCACACAGCATTTGATTTTTCCTTCGTCTCTTGTCACTCTAGTGACAGTTAGCTGTAGTTCTTTGTCTACTGTAAGTGCTGACAACTCATCTACTGCACCACTGTCCCAGTATCCATGTGAATCATCAAAGCCTTCAAGCTTGCACAAAAATGCCTGTGGTGGAGTTTCCATCAGGTCAGAGGGCATTTCTCTCACATCTATAATACTGACTTGGGACTTGTTTCCATAATCCACAAAGAGAACAGACAGCTCGTCTCCATCTTTGTCTATGACCTCTGCTCGGTACCAGAGATGATCATCTGGAAAGAGAGCAACACATGGGCTGCCAGGGGAGAGGGAGCCTGGGTCAATATGCTTGTGATCAGCTGTATCCCCAACTTCTGAGACGCGTGATGTTATCTTATCAAGCTCTTCTGAGTCCGCAGCCTGACACCAAAATGTCTGTGCATCGTTTATAGCTGCAATGTAGGCCTCCAACCTTTGTCCCTCTAAAAACTCTTGCTGGTGGTAACGGAGATAGGTGTTCGATAGCAATTTCTGTGAGTTCTCTGGCACTTGCCTCAAGTCAGAGTCATCAGCAGGTTTTTCCTCAACTTGCTTAAATTTCTCTGTGGCGATTTCAGAAACATTCAAACCTTTGTCTTCAAGCCTGACTGCCCACATGGATCCTGACTGCCTGATAAACTGGCACTTAAGCACCTTTTCCCCATTACCACTGATGTCTTCTTTGAAAGCGGACATCACTTCTGGATCAAGCACTCCCTCTTTTCCAAGTGCTGCAGTGTCGCTCAGCATACAGTGTGTGCTGTACATGGGAAGTTGCAAGAAATACTCGGGGAGTCTGCATATCTTAGAAATTGGCACCACTGCCGTATTTCCAAAATCAACAAATTCAACAAGAGCCCCTGTGCTACTGTGGATTTCTTTTACAACTGCTCGGTACCATGAGGAATCATCTGCAAACTCTGCTTGAACAAGGTCACCTGGCTGCAGGTCAGTAATGTCAGTTTGGGGGGAGGAGAGGGGATCATTGAGCTTTTCCACAAGGGAAAATATTTCATTCTCCTCTCTGGCAAGTTGCACGTAGAAACTCAATGGGCTGTTACAGTGTGACACAAAAACATCGGCTTCCATACCTGATGTGATAGATTTCGAGGGCAGGTCTGCAAGTTTAGGTAGTTTTTCATTACTCTTCTCCTGAGACTCTGTGGCAGGTGGTTTGGACTCGAGTGGTTTGGTTTCTGTGGGACGACTTCCTTTTTTGGGTTCGATACAGCCACCGGCTGGCCCAGAATCATTTCCCGTATTACTTGGTATCTTTTCACGTGACTGCCTTTGGTGTGGAGGTCTGTACAGTTCCAGTGGAGCAGCTTTGGCCTTCTGACTGTCTTTACAATCAAAGCGCAAAGGCTTCAGTGCAGACTGCTGATTTATGTCGCCATCCCTCATTGGAAGCACTGGTTTGGGGGCAGAGACAGTAATCTTGGTAGTCTGAGTGTGATCTTCCATTCCTGCAACTTGTTTTGGGACAGCTTTTGGAGTCTTTTGTGCACGATTAGTTGAAGTCTCCATCGCTCTCTGACCGTGGCAGACAACCTGTTCTTCTGTGTGCATCTCAATCCGAAACATCTTTTTGATCTTTGAATTAATCTGGGTTTTTCCATGATACAGTTCAACCAGCAGTTTCCCATCAGGTTCTCGGGCCACTACTAGCGCTCGAAATGTACATTCTGTCACACTTTTCTCAAACCAGCTGTTCATTTCACTGGGAACATCGTCAGGGACATCAGAGAGACTACACAGAACTGCTTGCACAGGCACAGACATTATGTCATTGGCCTCTCTGGGAACTGGAAGCAAGTCAGATTTTTCCACCTCAATAGTGTCACCATAATCCACAAACTGAACCAGAATGGCTGGTTTTGTGGCCTTGATCTGTCCCCTGTACCACTGCCCATCAGTGTACTTTGCAAAACACAAAGTCCCAAAGACTGTTGGGAGCTTTACATTCTCAAGCTGACGACAGAGATTACTCACTTTGATCTTTAGATCTTTTATCACATCAGCGTTCCTCTCGAGCTGGCAGTAGAACTGACTGACGTTGTTCACACATGTCACTGTGACCCGTTCTTCTGTTCCAGTTTTGATGTTGTGTGTTGAGTAGTAGTACGTGTCCAGACGGAAAGATGGCCCAGTGGCTTTCTTGGGAGGTGCACTTTTCACTAGATTGACCATACTGGTGGAGACACTTTCAAAGGGAGTTTCCAGATCCACCATGTTGAAAACAATCCTCTGCTCACTGTACATGACAGCATAGATGGTGCACTTCAAAATCACAAAGTTGGATGCGGCAGTTTCCACGAAGCTGTGGAACCTTGCTATTGCTTCATCACTCCACTCATTTGTGGCAGACGTGGGGTCATCAGGGTTCAACAGACTGCATCGAAAAGCTTGGCCATGTAGAGTGAGGAATTGTGGGCAGATCCTCCTCAGGTCGTAGAGGGAGACTGTCTCCATCTGGCCATAGTCAACAAACAACACATCCACATGAGGCGTTTCATGTTTGTGAATTACAAGGGCTCTGTACCACATTGCATTATTAGGGTGGCGAGCAACACAAGCCGTTTCTACGAGGGGCTGAAACTCACTGCCTGCATAATGGGCCTGTATATCATGCATGAGCAATTTTAAGTGCGCTGTGTTCTGCACTAGTTGGCACCAGAAGTCATTTGGGCTTTCGATGTAGGACACACTGACATCAAGGATGCTTCCGATTGGAAACATGTGCTCCTTGAATGTAGGAACTCTTCTTTCATTACTGGTAGGGCCAGCTGTGTTCTTGTAAACAGCTGATAGTCTGGCAACTGGAAGTTGTGTGGGAGGCAGGACAGCGGGTTGTGTGGTCATGTTGGCTTTGGGTTGTCTCTGGGTCTCAGCCCCTTCAGCAAGGCCAGAACTACACATCAGTGTTGCAATATCTCTTTCTCCCTGTACTTCAGGACATGTTAGTTGGACAACATAGCCCTCATCATATTTTGCTGTCACATTTATATTTACGGTTTTATCTGTGACTGCTTTGATGAAAAAATCACAGGCACTTTGACTCCATTTCCCATCTTTTGGCCTGACACCAGCCAAGCTGCATTTCAGTGCAAGACACGGCAGCTTTTTTAACTCGTCGGGAAGGGTCCTGATATTATTCCTGTCAACCACTTCAGTGTTTCCATAATCAACAAAGAACACCTTGATCCGTGCATCATCGACTTCAGCCACTGTTGCCCTGTAGAAATCACCATCTTCTGCCTTGGCAGCACAGTAGAGCCCTACAGTTGGATTTCTCACCCCATCTTTATTCACTGAATCTTTGTACAGATGGTAGATACTATCCATCATTTCATCCAACTCATTTACGTAGTTCTGTGTCTGGATCCAAAACTCTGATGGGTCAGAGATGTGCTGAACTACTGCCTTGTGAGAGGAGTTGAGAGAGAGGTCTTCAGCTGGCAACTTCAACACTTTTCCTTTCCCTTCTTTTTCCTCTACTGCCTGTCCAGGAGCTGATATCTTTAATCTTTGATTTATTTCTTGTGAAGCTGGATGCTGGCGGCTGTATGCAGAGTTACGGATGGCATAATCTCCAAGAGTTTTTTCACACTCGAGCGAACAGTTCTCCTTGGAACCAAACAAGTTGTTAATGTTCATGTTTTCACTCCCATAGAGCGTGACATAGTGAACACCCTCAGAGACACTTTGATACTCAAATTTGGCGATCACTGTCTTGTACAGAAGGAGGCTCCTGAGATAGTCAATCTGGCTGGTTGTCCACCCAACCCCTTTGTCAATGATTCCATGTAGGGAGCAGATGTAAGTCACAACAGGCATCCTGAAGAACTCTGCCGCCAGTGGCCGTACATTCTCCACTTGAACAAACTGTTTTGTTCCATAATCAACGTTTAACACTTCCACCACTTTGCTGGTTGGGAATACCTGTTGTAGAACAGAGCGGTACCAACGGCCATCACTTCCTCTTGCAGCACATGGATATCCAATCATTTCTGGACCTACAATGCAGTTGGTCATTCTGCCCTCACAGCACTGTGTGATTTGCTCTGAGAGTTTCTTCAACTCTTGTGAGAACACCTTCAACTGGCAAAAAATCCGCTGCGGGTTTGTCACATCTGTGACTACGACGGTCTCCACAGTTCCTGCTGGCAGCTCTGGGTACATGAAGAGCTCTTGCTTGCGCAGTCGCTCACCTGCTCCCACAGAGATCTGCAGAGTCTCCGGATGCACTTCAGCTTCACTGTGGGACTGCAGTGACTTAAGAACAAAGCCCTGGAACATGTCTGGAGACAGCTTCTTGGCAATTCCCATCTCATACAGTTGTTTAGATATGCAAGGGATGTACAGGAGAAATGTTCTGTGTGGTACCAGTACATCTTGCACATGTGCCTTCACTGACTTCCCAGAGAGAGATTTCAGGAACTCAAGAGCCAGTGGAGACCATCTGTTCTCAGGTGAGAGTGGTAACACGTTAGCTAGCACACAAAATTCCACTTCTGGTGGCAGGTGGAAGTGATTCTTCTTACCCCATGCTAGTTTACTTTTGGTAGTGCCATATGTCATCCCTTTGTCAATGAGGAACACACTGTATTTAGAGCCACTCCTTGACACTATGCGGGATCTGTACCAGGTACCATCTATGTGAACCAAGCACTGGTCACCAGGATTTCCTTCAAACTCTTGAAAGGTGTTTCCAGGAGACTGAATGTCTTTGGCCAGGCACTCATAATCTGCTGTCCTCTCCTGGCTAAATTTACCCCAGAACTCCACCAGCTCACACAGGGGATGCAAGTGGACCTTGGTTATGACAATTGTTACATCTGATCCTCGTGTAGGGAGTCCTAGGATTGACGACATTTTGGCAGTTTCATGAGTTCCATCTACCCATGATTTATCACCTCTCATCAACACAGCTATGTCAGCACTGGATGTTATCTGGAAAACACAAACACACAAACAAACATTTTCATTCCTGATTAATCTGACAATCATCTCAAATACTTAAATTACTAAAATCACATTCACTGCACAGAAAGCAACAAATGAGAAGTCGGAAGACTTTTTAAAAAGCTACTTTAAGGAGTCAGGAATTTAGGATAAATTACATAAAATAAAGCTTGTTCAAATTTATCAGCATAAAAAAAAAAAAAAAGGTACACAACAAATGTAAACTATACAGTTAAACAGGGATTACTGACCCAAATGGGGCCAGTCTATTCAAAAAAAGGAAGAAAAATAAAGAAAGGTGAATACTCTGTCAGACTGCTACTGAAGTGTCTCGACGACATAAAGGCCTGGATGGCTCTGAACTTTTAAAATTTCAATGATAAAAAGACCTGAATGGTCTTGCCCCGCCCTACCTCTCTGAGCTTCTACACCCCTATATACCCGTCCGCCCCCTCAGGTCAGATGATCAGCTGCTCCTGAGTGTGCCTAAAACTAAGTGGAAGCTCAGAGGGGACCGTGCCTTTGCTGTGTCTGCTCCTAAATTATGGAATGATCTGCCTCTGCACGTTAAACAGGCCTCTTCTCTGTCTGTCTTTAAATCCCGTCTTAAAACCCATCTCTTCTCTGTGGCCTTTGACACCTAGTAAGATGTTGACTTTATTTACTTGATTTAATTTCTTATTTTGATTGCTTTTTATTGCGTGGCTATTATTTTTACTCATGTTTTATATGTCTTTTCATTGTATTGTTTTATTTTCTATGTAATTTTGCACATCATGTGAGCTGTTCTGTCTTTTACTTATGATGTCTTATTTATTCTTCTGTACAGCACTTTGGTCAACTTTGGTTGTTTTAAAGTGCTTAACAAATAAAGTTGGATTGGAATCCAATTCTATGTATGTGTCATGTGGTAGCATGAAAACAATAGGACAGTACTTGCCTCAAAAAAATATATAATAAAAGTCATATACGTATGTGACAGCGACCTCACTAATGATTAAAACTAAAAAGCAGCACAAAAATGACAATTACAAAAATAAACCACTATGTTCTGAACAAACTCTAACTATCTTTAACTTATTTTGCTTTCGTTTAAAGTATAATACTTGTTTGAAGTAACCCCAGCCTTTTCAGAAAGGCTTGTGATAAAGGGCTGAATCTATTGAATTTATTTTTTCAATTTACATCTATTCAGTTTTTCAATGACCATTACAGATCTTATAAAATATAGTGTCCAGATAAAGTTATGATAATTACGTATATGTTTGGACAAGATTCATAGAAAACAAAAAACTAAAAAAACATTTAAGTCATACATATTTGTCCACAGTTCTTGTAACTTTCTAGTAATTCACAAGATTAATAATGAAGCCACTGACTTGCTTGAGCTGATATTCATTCCATCCTCCTCTGGCAAAATCACTTAACGTAGCAAAACAAACATTCATTGTGGAATATTTATTGGGTGAGAATATAAAATGAATGGGACATTTTCTTAAAAGCAAGTCAATTCAAGTAATATTCATTAAATCTTAGATGCATGGGTGTTTTTCTAAATACTCCTTGATACCTCTGGTCTTCGGAGAGACATTACTAACGTAACATATGAAACTACAAATTATATTATTCTAATTGTATTGTTTAGAAATTTTCCAGAACATTTTTTATCTGTCACTTACAGATGCTGTATTTCTGTTTCTGAATTATCTGAATGACTCCAGCACAAACATTATCTCCATTAACAGTGGCTATAGACGCACCGTCATTTTCAGACTGTCATCTGAACCGTCCTCTATTAAGCAGAGATAAGAACTGTACAATTTAGTTACTGTGTGAGTAATAGAGGGGGGGAAAAAATCTTTTTAAAAAAAAAACTTTTTTTTTTTAAATATAAAAAAATTCAAAATAAAATATAAAAAATTTAAAAAAAAAAAAAAAAAAAAACAAAAAAAAAAAAAAAAAAAAAGGTGGGGTCTTAAATGGCAGGATTAGTCACACTACTGTGTGAGTAAACCTTTTTCTGACTGTAGGCTAATGTAAACTTTATCTATTCTATATATTATTTATCTTTATCCTTCATCCGTGTCCAGTGACAAACCCACTACTATTACTTACTATGTTTTACCATGAAGAAAGGAAAACACTAAGGTATCTAACTAATACACTAAAATGTTGTGTACATTTCCACATTTCATTTATTAAAACAAATAATTTTGGTAATAGAAGGGACCATAAACCCCAACTAACGTTAGATTATAAGTGAAGACTGGGTTTAATATGGTCTCCAGTCTCTGAAGAACAATGATGAATTTACGATAACTGAACTGTCAGAAAAAATGTGCTTGTAAAAATGGCAATATTGAGTTACTTAAGGAAAAAAGATCTAAACTGAGTAAAGCAAAAATAGAATACAAGGATAAAATTGAATATCACTATTTCTCAGGAAATGCCAAGAAAGCATGGGAAGGTTTAAATGTGATGATGGGCAGGGAAACTAAGCAGAAGCGTACCCCCGTCACACCCCTCTCCATCTTTTGCATATGATCTAAATGTCTTTTTCAGTCGTTTTGACAAGAATGATTTTAGTGCTGAACGTGATAGTGTGTGCAGGTCCATTTTGGCAAATGCCCCTATTACACTAAATGAACATGAGATTGTAGCCAGCCTGTCTAGTATCAAGCCCAACTCGGCCCCGGGGCCAGATGGCCTGAGAGGTAGAGTTTTAAAAGAAAATGTTCATGAACTTAAAGGTATTGTGTTGGAGTTATTTCAGTATTTGCTCAATTCTCTAACAATACCCAAATTATGGTAAATGTCTTACATCATGCCTCTCCCCAAAAAGCTTGGAGCTTTCGAATTAAAAGATTTCAGGCCCATTGCTCTTACTTCTATCTTGGGAAAACGTTTTGAGAGAGTTATAAGCAGACAAATTACATCGTCGGTTTCTAACAGCTTAGATCATCTCCAGTTTGCTTATAAATGTCAGAGGGGAACTGATGATGCAACTGTCAGTATGTTCCACACCTTGTCAAAGCACCTTCAAGTCCCCTCCCACCTTACCAGGGCCCTTTTTATCGATTTCACTTCTGCTTTTAACAGCATGCAGATTCACATCCTGCTGCAGAGACTTATTGATATAGGAGTAAACGGTGGTATTATCCACCTTGTTAGGGACTTCCTCTCTGACCGCCCTCAACAGGTTCTGGTCAATAATACTCGGTCCGACATCATTGTGCTTAATACTGGTGCCCCGCAGGGGACTATTTTATCCCCATTACTTTTCTCGATATACACAAACGAATTCCAATTAGATCTGGAAAAGTTTTGTTTGTTTAAGTATGCGGATGATATGGTGATATGGCCCTGGTTGCCTTATTGAAGAAGGGGGACACAGTGGGAGAGGAAGTATACAGAGCATATGTGTCATCTCTCCTGAAGTGGTGTGATGAAAGCTTCTTAGAGATCAATGTAACAAAAACACAGGAACTTGTCTTTCATGAAAAGGAGCCTGTGCAGCCCCTTATAATTAAGGGACAAATTGTAGAGGTAGTAAACAAGTTCAAATATTTAGGTACATATATTGATTGCAACCTAAATTTCAGTGAAAACACTGATTATATTTTTAAAACCTGTAATCAGCGTCTCCACTTACTACGCAAGCTCAACTCCTTTAGAGTGAGCAAGCATATTATGGAAACAGTTTATAAGAACCTGATAGAGGGCATCCTAACTTTTAACATGGCAATGTGGTTTGGTAATCTAAACATAAAAGGAAGACGCAAGCTGCAGAGAATAGTAAACATAGCCTCAAAAATCATAGGTATAAGACAGAAACAATTAAGTTGTGTGTATAAGGATGTGCTTAGGAAAAAAGCTGTCAAAATAGCTAACGATCCCTCTCATCCACTTAATAGGGAGTTTGAACTTCTTCCCTCTGGTAGACGATACAGAGTACCATAAATCATAATATTTTTTAAAAGTTCCTTCATCCCGAGTGCCATCGGAGAACTGAACACCACGTCCCGTTGATGCGTTCTTAATGTAACCGCCATTACTGTTCTGCCTTTTGCCCTGAAGTTGTTTGAGTGTAAGTGTTGTTGTTGTTGTTGTTGTTCTTTTTGCCGTCCTGCTTGTTGTTTTCATGAGACCAAAGACAAATTTCCACATTGTGGACAATAAATGAAACAAACAAACCAACAAACTAAGTGAATGGCTAACAAGATACACATTTCAACTGTTCATTTCAGTCGACGGCAACGCTGATGAATCACAATTCATTTGTAATATATCGTTTTAAATAATCCCCGAGCTCCTCCGTTAAATTGAACTATTTTACAGCAAATGCGTGGGTTTTGTTTTATAGTTGTTAACGTTACCTTCAGGTGCAGCTAGCACATCAGCTAACGCTACCTAGCTTAAGTTAGCAGCTGGCGTTAAGGCACTCACCGGCTCCGTTTAATGAATTAACGTTACGTTAGCAGGTGAAGTTACAGGTGCTCAATTAATTGTGGCAGATTAGCATGACGACTCCCTTTGTTGTTCAGATTTACATATACTCAGTAAGATAGGTTTTCACACGATAACTCACCCGTTTCACTCCACGCAGACTCTCTTTAACCTCACGATGGTGATGCTAGCACAGTTTTACCAAACAAACGTTAGCCGAGCAAATCCACACACAGCCTAGGGGGCGCTAACGGATCCCAACCGCCAACGTTGGGGCAGTTCCAGTGTTTTCTTTTTGTTCTAATGTTACACTTTAGTGACAGAGGATCCGTTTTACTGCTTCCGAGAATATTTCAGTGTAACGTTAGCTACATATTGAACACCGGGCACAGCAAGGCGTTGAGGAACCGTTAACCAGCGGCTAACGGCTAACGGCTAACGGCGGGCAGCGCACACAACACGCGCCTCTGCGGAACACTCTCAACGTTTTTTCCGCCCTTTTTTTGACCCCTGACCCGGAACTGTCGCTGTTGAACCCTGTCACAATGCACAACATGGAGACACGTTTACACTATTTTTTATTTCTTATACTCTGCTCAGTTCAAGTTCATGCTGCTTTAAAAATATAAAGTGGTTTCCAAAATGCGGTCCGGGGATCAATAGGGGTCCTTGTGTGGGTTGTATGGGCTTCCCAGCAAAAGGAGGGAAATAATAATTTTATCCCATTGTTTGGAAGTTGGAACAAAAAGGGTCAGGTGTTTTGATTGACTGTAATTTATAATGACCTTAAAATAAAAAACATTACTCAGAGGGGATTCCTTAAGACAAAATCCAAATTGGTGGGTATGTGGTCTAATGTGCATCTCCTGTGGGGGTCCTTGATACAAAAAAGTTAAAGCTAAATAACCGTGTAGCCTAGCGTACTGTATTTATTATTATGTGAAAGTTAATAATGTAATCCCCAAATTCACAAACCCAAGCTGAGCCTAAGACATGGCAATGAGAGACAGCTGATCGGGACCACTTATGGAGTAATCCACTGCTCTATTGGGGCAGAATGCACCACATCACATATTCATTTTAACTTGTCATGATGTTCTTTCACGCTGCAGTTAATGAATATGTCAGTACGATTGTCCTGCTTATATGTTTAGAGGTCAAGCGCGACCATGTCCTCCTTTCTACATCCCCTGCTGTGCAGCATTAAGATACATTTAGGCACTTTGGGAGCGCTTTTGAACACCAAGCGTTAAACTGAACTGTATGTCTTCATCTGATTGGTGAAACTCTAATGTCTTGAAATGAATGAATGTCGAATGAATTGCTCAAGTAGATGTTATAATTCAAAGAAACACTTTTGAAGGGGTGATAAGGAAAGTGTTGCCTCAGGAGTTATTTCATCAGCACCACCCTCTACACAGACGGGTTGAAAGCAGAGAGAACTGTGTGGAGATAAATGTAGTACAAGAGTCACTCTGTATAATCTGTTTTACGTCATCTGTGGAGGAGAGCGACAGCATGATTCAGCGTTATCACACAACACTTTGTGTCAGTACAGTTTTATTTGAACACAGATTGATTCTTACTAAACAATACACAACTAGCCTTGTCTTGCACAACCACCATACCTACAAAACTGAAGCTTGCGTGAATCATTTCATCATGTGCTTGAGACCTTTCACATAGACCGTTCTGCAAGAATCAGCATGTCTTTTTTTGAATTTTCAGTTGCAGTTGTTCCTCTTACCACTGAAGGAGTACTATAATAATAGTAACAAAAATAAAGTGTTCATAATTTAATGTTGCTCAATGTTTTGGCCAAATTTTAATTCTGTAATTATAAGTAAGTGTTTTAGTTTTGTTTTTAAGGGTATTTTGGGGCATTTTATGCCTTTACTTAATAGGATAGGTGAAGATAAGCAGGAAAGGTGGAAAAGGTCAGCGTGGTTGGAATCAAACACAGGCCGCTGTGGCAAAGATCCAGCCCACATGGGGTGCACGGTGGCTCACTTGGTGGAGCGTAAGTAAGTGTTTTAATGTTTTTTGTTGTATGTGGATCTGAAGAAAAGCATACATTTCAAATTCCCAAATTATATCTGCCTTAGTTTGGAAAGGGACAATCAGGATATGGCTCAAGAATACATGGAGAATTACTTTCTCACCCAAACCATCCAATATTTCCTTGGCTGAATTACACACTCTAGGGGGAGCTAACGCACCATAATGATTTTTATCCTTTATTAACAACAAATGAGGCACAATGACAAACTCACAGACCTCACCTCCCACTGTAATATCAATCCTAGTCAATGCAATGAACCAAAGAATAAATGCAAATAACATCAACAACAGAAGAAGGAAAAAACTGAAACTGAACAAGGGGCTAGAATTAATTCTATATAATTATAATTAGTATAATATTATTCGAAAGAAATTCAGTTTGTTTATTTTTTCAAAATTTCTCCAATTTAAAAAAAAATCCTCACAGATAATTCTAAAATTGTCATCGATTACAGGAATCATTTGGTGTATTTTTATTAAACTATTTAGAATTTTGTCCAGAGTATGACGAGAGCTTGATGTAAAAATGCAGAACATCTTTTATTATCTTTTTCGATTTTTTGCATTAGGTTGAAACTGCCTGTTTAGAATTCTCCAGATATCCATCAATGTATTGTTATTGATAAAATCTCTAATTGTTTGATTTTTATATTCTCGTGAAAATCTAGATGGCCCTCTACTCATCCACTCATCAGGAGTCAAACTGAAATCACCTCCAACCAGTATACAGTCAGTAGGAAAGTTTGCATTCAGTTAATAGCTTTATGCAATAGATTTCTTATTATTAACATTAACAAAAATAAGAACACTGGTAATCCCCAGAACACATGCTAACCAATGTCAGTGTCTGCCTTATCAATTTGGCTCTTATATATATGTGGAAGCATATCTGCAGGATTTAATCACCTCATTGTTGACTCCAAAACTTAACATGTGTTTCTAGAATAAAAAATGCAGTTATCCTTCTGCCCTTTACAAAATAGGAAAACCGATTTGCCTTTAATGAGTCCCCTTGTAATAAAGGAAGAAAAAGAAAGACCACAGTAACTCTTTTGGAGGAAGGTTGTAAGCAGTGACAGCTTCCCCCCCTATCTTTTACAGTAAAGATGACAAACTATTATTAAAAACCTTAGAACATATTGTTTTGAATTTTGGTTAAACCTAGAGCAGCAACAGCACCAAACTGAAAGAAAAAACTCAGGATATATGATATATCTTCCCGTTAATGGGCTTCATTTTTACAGCCCAAGCACAGTAGCATAAGCTTCCATTCAATTTCAAAGGCCAGTGACCTTCGACCAATCACAGTGCAGTAGCTACAGTACAGTGACCTTCGACCAATCACAGCACAGTAGCTACAGTACAGTGAGGCTAGTTCGTGGTATGGCGGGCGTTAGCATGAACATGAACGAGGTGGATTATTTACTTTCTAATCAATTTTCTTTAAAGTCTGTGGAGGAAAATTGGAAGTACAGAGATTGGGAACACATCATCCAAATGTTGTACAAATAACACAAAAGGACAAATGACAAAATCGTAGTTTGGTGTTACGTGGTTTCAGCGAACGGACTGGCTAACAGCAAGTGTAGCTAGGAATTCACTTTTCTGTTTCCCATGTTCGCTATTTGGAGGAGACACGGTTTGGACTCAACAAGGAATTGTGGATTTAAAACATTTATCCGACAAAATTAGGAAACATGAATGTAGCACGAGCCATATTGGATATAGCAAAAAGTTGTCATTGCTGGGTAAAGTGAACATCGGCTGTCAGCTTAATGAGGGCCACCGCACCGCTGTACAGAGACAATGAGCTGGTAAAGAAACACAGGCATTCACTATCAAGGATTGTGGACTGTATTACATTTTGTGGGGACATGAGCTCGCCCTGTGGGGGTCCGATTAATCTCACAAGATGCTCAACCATCACACCATCCTGGAGCAGACCGTCATTGAGGTACTGATCAGGGAGGAAATGAACAGGTCGGCTACCTCCACATTTACTGATGATACACTCCAAATCAATGTATTATATTCCCATAACTCAGCATTTTAGGACCATTCCATTATTTTAATTTCATCAGCTTAAATGTAAAAATAATAGAAGAACATTCTGTGAAATATTTGTTATTTTGTCCACCATACTTTGTCATATTTATTGACGGCGTGTTTGTGTTTTTATTTTCTGTCTCTAGAACCACAAAGAGTCATGTTGGTCGTGGGGATGCTGTAAAGCGGAGGAACACCACCACCGACCGATCAGGTAAGTACTGCTACACAAAGTGGGAACAAGATGTGAATCCATGAGCTCCAGTCTGTGATTGGTCAGTGAAGAGCTGATGATGTTGACATGTGTTTTGACTGGTTGTGTTTGTGTGTCAGGTTTCCAAACATCGGGCAGACCTGCTACTTAAACTCCTGCCTGCAGAGCCTCCTTACCCTGGAGGACTTCATGAGGGGCCTCTGCAGCCAGGAGCAGGTCTGGAGTTCAGTGCCTGTGGCCCAGCTGATCAGGTACAGTAACACCCCCCCGTACACACACATACACAGACATCGGGCCATGAAAAAAACGTTGAGTCGGTATGTGCAGCGGAAGGAGTCGGCCTACATCCTTGTTCAACAAGAGACAGCTAAGACGATAGCACTGTTCACTCCCTGCACTGAGGTCCAGAAGAAGACTAATAGTTTATAACAGCACTTATGAGATCTTTAATAAAGTTTAATTAAAAAAAGACCTTAGAGTCTTAGAACTGTCTAAACACACACACACACACACACTCAGTCACTCTGAAGTTCCTTCACAAATCTGAGAAACAAAATGTAGTAACAGATCTAATTCTTTCACTCTCTGTAGAAGATTCATGGCGATCAGAGATGCCCACACCTCCACAGACTCCGAAAGGAAAGGCCGCCTGCTGCGTTGCTTTAAGAACGCGGTTTCAGTCCAGGCCCCTGAGTTTGGTGAACTCGGAAACCTGCAAAAAGCTGTTTTTTCATAAATTTGCATCTTCCTGTTTATTCTCTGTGTATAAACCCCACTGTGTGTTTCTGTGTGTTCAGGACGCTCACGAGTTCCTGACCTCAGTCCTGGACCAGATACGGAGTCTGTCCCCTCACCTGCAGGTCATTGCAGCGAGCATGGGCAGGAGGTACACCTGCCCTGTTGAAGATCACCTGGTGTTCAATATGGAGCACATCAGGGCAATCAAGAGATAAAGCAGTGCAGAAGTCATCACACGTATGTGTAGTCTGTCAGAGTCACCTGGGCCCCCCATAGTGAGATGCTGTGCCCCACTTTGTCCCCCTAACAAACAGTCTGATCCAGCAGGAGGCCTCGTCCTGACCTCTGTGGCTGTATTTTATGTGTATTGT